TGGGTGGAGGGTGGAATTGATACTTAATGGATAGATAGATGGATGGATGGATGGATGGATGGATGGATGGATGGATGGATGGATGGATGGATGGATGGATGGATGGATGGATGGATGGATGGATGGATGGCTGAAATGGCTGATGTTGTTATTTGAAAACAAACATTATTGTGAGTGGCAAGAAATATAACATCACTCGCATAAGCGTTTTATATCTCAGTTTGATTATAAATTAAGTTTGAAATGCAGTTGTGTTATATATTATTTAATCAGTAACCACGATGCGCTGTTATGCGGTCATCACGTCAGCGTGCCAAAGAATGCTTAAAAGCAGGTTAAATTCATCAACTTGTTTTATTAAATTTATCGTTTTGAATGGTGGCGCCAGCTCATCAAGATGTTATTAAAATGGAAAGTCTTGATGAAATATGCCATGATAATTAATTAGAAACACTAGAAACATAATTTCAACACTGATGACGACGACAACGATGATGATGATGACGATGGTGATGTTGATGACAATGACGCGGACACCTCATTTGATGATGACCATAACGATCATAAAAATAGAATGCCAGAAAAGTGGATGGTGGTGATAGTGGTGATGGCCGTCGTAATGACTTGGTTGCCAGTCCGCCTTTCATATCAAATTTCAAATTAATGCTCTGATTAATGGTCGTCGGGTGACTTGTTGCGGGTGATTAATATCAAATAGGGGCGGGCCTCACAAATTGTCTTCTGCATGTCTTCTCGTGTGCCGGCTAAACACGCACGCCGTTCCCCTCTCTCTTTCTCTCTCTCTCTCTCTCTCTCTCTCTCTCTCTCTCTCCTTATCATCCATCATTTATTCATTCAATTATTAAATTGTTTATTTGTCTATATCATATTTTGATAATGAAGGTTCTGCTGAATTTTATTTTTGTGTTTTTGTCTTTCTTTGTGTTTAAGTAATTGTGAAGCAGGTACATTTAAAAGTGTGTTTATTTGCGTGTGTGTGCGTGTTTCTGTGTGTGCGCGTGTGTGGTGCATGTGATTTGTAAATTGTTTTTTTTGTTTCATCTTTTATAACTATGATAATAATAATTATTATTATTGTTAAATATTATTATCATTATAATTATTGTTGTTGGTGGTGGTGCAGTGGTAGTAGAAATGGTAGAAAATTTAGTAGTAGCAGTAGTAGTAGTAGTAGTAGTAGTAGTAGTAGTAGTAGTAGTAGTAGTAGTAGTAGAGTTAAAGTAGCAGCAGTATAGTAGTCGTAGCAGTATCAGTAGCTGCTGTAATAATAAATACTAATAACAGTGAAGAGCAGTAAAATGGAGATGATGAGAAGGTAGGGGCTCATTTGTTGGTGCATCGAAGAGGATTGGTTGTGGCAAGAAAAGTGGCAAAAATTATTTTGAAGTGTTGGTAATAATAATTATTTTGGAGGCATTTGTAGTTTCAGGCTATTAATAAATAATGTTGGTTGGCAGTCGGAGCGAGGCTTGCATGGACATCAGTGATTGGAATGCTGGAGGAAATTGTTCTGTCGTCAAAGTTAATTAGCTATTGTAATTTACTGTTGGCGGAAGTGTTCACATTTAATTATGCAGTGGAATGATTAACACAACTTTTAAAACTTTTTAGTTGCTATTTCATTCAATATATCCATAGCCATAAATATCAACAACGTCGATTTATAACATTCCAACTCGAACTTTTGCAGACACCCCAACAACTCAGGCACCTCTGCGTGGGAGGAAGTGGAAGCCAGGGAGGTCACGATGCTGCCGACACCCACCACCATGAACATCTGTTTTTTGTATTATATTTATTATTGTTCGTAAATAGTGTTAACAATAATTCTATTTTGGCACAAAACTTTTGAAAATTATTCAGCATTTTTGGGAGTGTTTGTTCAAATTAGAAAACTGTTTTTAATGAAATTTAAATATATGAACAAATAATGATTAGGCCAAATAAGTGGTCTGTGATTAACTTTCGTTTTATTTTTGATTTTTTTTGTTGTCAACAATTAACAAACATAAATAATTTAGGAGCAAATTATAATGAAACCTTTTATTAAAAATTAAGTATGTCTAATATATATATATATATATATATATATATATATACATATATATATATATATATATATATATATATATTGTTATTGTATATATATATTTAGAGTGACAATATTTTTTAACATTTTTTTTTATTTATGCACATATTTCTACATGCACTCACACACGCGCACAAACTAGCATAAAACTATCAATCACACATATATATACATACAAAAACACAAATACATGTATACATTAGAGCCCTGCGCGGTTTGCGGTTGTCGCGGTTTAAACCGCGGTTGCGGTGCTTAAATCATGCGGTTTTACGCGGTTGCGGTTTTGAAATGTGCGGTTTTTTCGGTGACCGCAAAAATTTTGTTAAATATTTTTGTTCGTCCATAACATTTTAAAAATTGCATTATCATTGTAATAATTTTTTTATATATTGTCTTTGAAAAATCTTAATATCTTTGGAAGCCGCTGAAGCAACGGCTTTCTTTTTCCTGTTTACTTTGAAAGAAGTAGTTATTTTATTTACGGCGTGATTAATTATCGATTATTTTATAAAAATTTCCGAGGTAAAAAAATGTTGAAGTTGATCCACAGGTAAAGTAATTGATAAAGAATTTTTGAATAAATTGATGCTGTCCAAAAGCGAAAACGTTTCTTTAAAAGCGCAAGAAAATTCTAAAAGTGAAATTTGGAAAAATTTTAACAGAATTTATTTTAAAAACATGGCTACATCATTTATCTGTTGTAACAAATGTGAAGCCAAATGTGGGTTAAAACAAGATCGGAACACGGATGTAGATAGTTGTGATTTATAATGTCAATAAAAGCATTAATGTTGTTTTTCATTTCTTGCGGTGCGGTTTTCGGCGGTGCGGTTGCGGTTTCAGATGTTGCGGTTTTGTGTGGTTGCGGTTTCAAATGTTGCGGTTTTGTGCGGTTGCGGTTTTTGAAAATTCCAACCGCGCAGGGCTCTAGTATACATGCATACATGCATGCATCCATGCATACAATCGTACATTCATACCTATACACACATACGTCCTTGTTTTTAGCCATGAAATCTTCTCATCATGCAAATGAAGACATTGTGCCAAGACACGTTTTCAATTTGAATACATTTGTTATTTTCAATGCCCTCAAAATATTAAATGCATGTTGTTGTTTACCGAAAGAAAACTGAAGAAAAAAAAACTGAATAATATAGGTAACATTAAGAAATCAAATTTACTGAACTAAACGTGTGTGTGTTTAAACATGAAAAGCAATAACATTTTAATTTTTAAAAAATTTTAGACCATTTTGTACAAATTTCTCAATATGGTAATTGTTTTGTTTCAGAAGAACATAAAAACAAAACAAGGTGAGTTATTTTATTGTGCAGCTAAAAAAATCAATCAGCAACATTGAAGCTGGCGTGGTGGAAATTTATTGAGACTTTTTTTAAATAATTTTACAATTACGATGGCTCGTACGGAGTAGCAAGCAAGGCAGTGCTCTCCATTCATTTGCAACGCAATTCTCTTACAGAAACTGCTGAAGCAATGAACACGGCATGGCAACAAATAACAAATATGAAGTTAATATATATAATGTCAAACATTAGCACAACTAATTTATTTTACTGCCAAATAATTTTAAAAATAAATATTTTCTAAAATTTTTGTTAAAACTGAATGGCAGTTTAAAGAAATGCAAAAAATAAATATTCTTGTTTACGTTTTTAATCTTTTGTTGGTTTCCATTGTTTGCTTATCATACGTCATTGATTACAGCATCAACAGATACTCATATCCGCAGGTGAGAACTCTCTGCTGATTGGTTGGTTGTTTGGCTGATTAACTGGTTATATGAATGATTGGTTAGTTGAATGATCGGTTAGTTGGTTGATTGGCTAATTGGTCGGTTTGTAGGTTGATTGATTGGTCGATTGATTGGTTAGTTGATTTATTGGTTGGTTTGTTGATTGCTTGTTCAATAGTTGATTGATTCCTTGATTGAATGCTTCATTGATTAATGGTTGATTGATTGAAAGACTGTTTGGTTGAAGATGTAAATGCAGGTAAGTTGGAATAATTTTTAATATAATGTTAAATGAAGAGCATTGCAAATAAATTGAATGCAAGCGGAAGTTGAATAAATAAGGATTAATTTTTTTGTATGATTCCATAAAAACTTGTGTGCAGAATTATCAAATGCAAAAGACCTAGGTATATGTTTCATGAATTTCAATGAGTTAGTTCTTCCTATCCAAATGAAACGACACTCAACTTGAGAAATAAAATAATCGTCTTTTGTTATTCTGTAATTATTTATTAGCAATTATTACGTTGTACGTTCTATCATATATTCATTTCCATAGCACTCTCTTTTGTTTTATTCTATTAATTTATATTTATTAACTTCGTCAATTAATTATTTTTTTTATGTATTTGATTTTATATTTATTATTCATTTACTTATTTTTTATATAATTAATTAATTGTAATTATAATTAATTAATTAATTAATTAATCATTAACTCATTTTATTTGTTAATTCATTTATTAAATAATTAATTTACTAATATTCTATTTAATATTATTTAATGTTCGATATTATATAACAGATAACATTTACATTCCCGACTCTCGATCACCATTTCGAAACGAGCGGCAGAACAGATGATGCTCAGCAATGCGTGCAATGCCTGCCTTCCCACCGTCTCGAATCTTATTTCGAGTCTTATCTTACCGAACCAACTTTTTCGAATCGATTATTTCGAAACGATATCATGCACTAATTATAGAAAACAAACTGTTTTTAACTGTAGTTTGTTGTTTATCTCTTTAGAACACCGCCTCATGTGTTTATGATTACCGTTCATTTAAATTTTAAACCTCGGTTACAATGATAATTTTATTTGAATTAAGTTATGTTATGCTACGTTGAGTTATGTTACATTATGTTACAGCACGTTGCATATAGGTTACGTATTTTTATAAAATGTTGAAAGGCAAATTCTGACGACGCATCTTTAGTTGTCTCACCGCATCTCTTCAATTTCTGTCGGCGTTAACGTCAGCGTCAAATTTTTGACCAAACTTTTTTTGATTAAAGTTCATAATACAAAAATTTCTTTAAGACACTGTAACTTCATTTTAGTTTCCACATATTTCAGTCATCGTCATCTTCAAAATTAATTACATTTCACTTCCGCTCATCATCTTCTTCTTTTTCTTCGACCACATCATCATTATCATCAAAAACAACATCATAGTCGCCATCATCCCCACAATCATCTCCATCATCTTTTTCTTCATCCCTTTCACCATCATTAGCAGCGTAAACATTATTATCATCATCACCACCATCATCATCATCGTCAACACCATCATCATCATCACTGTACAGAGAACATGTTCAGCGAATGAGAAATGCAAACTTTCACATCGTCAATCGTACTTTCCATGCAAATGTCCTCCAACCCTACCTGCCTGCTCATCATCGTCGTCGTCATCATTATCAACATCATCATCGTCATCATTATCATCATCATCGTCGTCGTCGTCATTATCAGCATCATCATCGACTTCGTTGAAAGGTCGACTTGCGGGTCACTGTCGAGAAAAAGTAGAGAACGACGTCATGTTTTGGTACCAGCCATGATGATGATGATGATGATGATGATGATGATGATGATGATGATGATGATGATGATGATGATAAGGATGATAATAATAATAATGATAAGGATGATGAAAACAAAAACAGGTCATAGCAATCGTTTTCCATTTAAAAATATAACAATAATAATAATAATATATGATTAAAATAATAATGATAATATTTACAAAAATAACAATTTTTGGCTTTTATATTTCAATAAACAAAATTTTCTTAAAAATTAATCAGTGCCTGTATTCACACCCATAAAATTTTGTTTGTTTGTTTGTGCAGTATAACGGCGTTTCAGCACAACTGGCTATCTTTACGCCCGTTGTTCCTTTTCTATAAATGCGTTTTGTTGTTTTAAAACTTTTGAGAAATTATTTTTAAATTCTATTAAAAATTTGTATTTCCTGAAGGAATGATTTTAGATTATTGATTTTATCTCTGGAAAAAATTTTTTCTACTTCTGAAGGGATGTCATGTCGTTTCCTACTATTATTGTGACTATTACATTTGGCCAAAATGTGATGGATGGTTAATTTTTCGTTACAAGAGTTGCATGTAGGCGAATTTGTTTTGTTGAGAATCCAGGAATGAGTCAAACTTGAATGGCCTATTTTTAATCTGTTGATGATTGTCTGAGGTTTACGTTTTAAACCTTTAAATTCATTTTTTTGGCTGAGAAATGGTGTGGATAATTTAAGAAAGTTTGATGTTTGGTTCCATTCAAGTTGCCATTTCTCCATTGAAACCTTTTTTGTCCAAAATCTTAAATCATTGTGTGGGATGGGAAGATTTGATATTGGAATATTGTAAGCTTGTGATGCCAGTTGATCGACTACCTCATTACCCTGAATTCCTATGTGACTGGGTATCCATATCAGAGTTATTTTCTTACCATTGTTATCATTAAAGTTATTATGTATCCTGTTTTGCGTTTGAATTATAAGGTTGTGTTGAGGTCTATATTGTTTAAGCGCCGTAACTGTTGATAATGAATCTGAGAATATCATGAAATTTTTACTATTGGATTTAGATATGAATTTTATTGCCATCTGAATGGCAATGATTTCTGCTGTGAAGATTGAAGCATGGTTTGGAAGATGTTGCATGATTTTGTTTATGCATTTTTGTTGTCTGTAGACCACTACTGCTGCTGTAGTTGATATTCCTTTTTTTGAGCCATCAGTATATATTTCAATTGAATTGGGATTCTCTTGAATTTTTTCTTTGAATAACATTTTTGCTAAGTTTTTGTCTTTTTCTATTTTTGCTATACTGGTATCAATATCTGCATGTAGCAACAGCCAGGGAGGAATCTTATAATCATTCTCTTTAACAATTTTTGTTTTTTCATGTTCATTGATGTATTCATTTATTCTTGTTAGAAAAGTTTTAATAGATTTGGATTTAATGTGACATATTTTTTTTGTCTGATTGGATAGATGAGATAGTGACACTGACTTTTGACAACGTTACGTGTCAGTAACATTGAAAGAAACACCAAACGAGCGAGATGTTTATTGCGACCGGATTGAGTCGTCTCACTGTTGAGTCCCTCCGCTTCAAAAAATCGTTTTAAGCGATATGTCGCCAAAATTAGTTCTACATCAGAAATTGAACTTGGGCCGCCAACGTGAAAGACTGGAGTCATAACCATTAGACAAAATGTGGAAAGGCTACAATGCGCTATTATTGGATTTATATTTTGACATTTAGGCTGTTGTTCTAGAAAAGTCATTAGTTCAACATTATGTGATGTTGTTTCATTTCCTTCTCTGAAAGCTTCTGCATGGTGTGATTGAGTAGCATTACGTTGCTTGCACGTGCAAGTTATTTGCAGTCAGAATGTCGAGAATGTAAATAAAGAGAAGAAGTATGAGTGATCCACGGGTGAATTTTTTGTCTTCTTTTTATTCTTTTTGAGTATTAAATAAAATTAAATAATAAGCTTGATACTTTATGTTATATATTTAACATATTTGACATGTATTTGAGCCAACGAGGGAGAAAAATATACTTGACTTAATAATCTTGACAGATAAGAATATGATGGAAGATGTGCAGGTCGGATAAAGATTTTGTTCCAGTGATCATAAAATAAGAAGGTTCAACGTAGCTGTAATACATGAAATTGAAGCTATAACACACAAAAGCAATTCAACTACTATAGAGCAGATAATGATAAAGCAAAAAGCAAAATCAAAGAGAAGAACCTAAGAAGCTGATTTGCAGGTCTTGGAGTACTGGATGAATGGAAACAGTTTTGTCATGCACGAATGGATTTGCAAAAGAAACAATAGAAACATACAAGGGAATTGTCAAAAAATGTTTCTATGTAAACAAAGACGTTCAAAAAGCCAGGAAAACCAAAAAGCATTGAAAAGAATCCAAAATGTAGGCAAAAGTGCTCAAAATTTACTAGGAATAAACGCTAGAAGACAATTTGAAGAAGCAAGAACAAAATATGTAAAAAAAAAGAAACCTGGAAAATAAAATAAAAAAAAAACGATTAATAACTACGAGGTTAAGCTGAATTAAGATAGATCTTGGTGATGGAAGAAACGAGCAATGAGAACATTTGTTTGGAGAAAGTGGTAGTTGCCATTTGATACTCCAAGCAACTATGTCGTAATGACCTGTTGAAGATGAGCTGAGTTGGAAGAACGGCAATATAATTTTATATCATCAGCGAAAAGCAAAATTGAAACCGTTTTTGAAAATATGCACTCAACAATGTTGTTTATGAAAATCAAAAATAAGGTTGGACCCAGGACACTACCGTGTAGAACACCAATAGTAACAGGTACAGAACCTGATAACTTACTCTGAATCCCGACTTGTAGTGAAGGTTGAAATACGAAGTCCGTCAACCAGAAAAGCAAATTTCCAGACATTCCGTAAGAATTTAATTTTCCAACTAGCTTTGAGTGCGACACAGAGTCAAAGCCTTTTGGAAATCTAGGTAGATGGCGTCGCAGCTTTCCTTTTTTTTGACAAATTGACATTCAGTCACTCTGAAATTTTAGTAAGTTTGAGCAGTTGGATCTGGCAGGTAAAAACCATGTTGAGAACTAGCGGTCAATTTATTTTCTGAAAGAAAAGATGAATTTGAATTACGTTAATGAATTTTTTCCTTCACTCTACAACTTGAACTGGTGAGAGAAATTGGTCTGTAGTTACTGGGGTAATTGGTAGGACCTTTTTATGGATAGGAGTAACAATTGCAGTTTTCCATTTAGTAAGCAATAGATTGCTTTTAAATGATAAATCGAAAATGTGACAAAGTGGAACTGCCAGAGTTGATGCACACATCTTGAGTATAATAGGGTATGCCATCTGGACCAGCTGATGTTGAATTTTTTATGTTTCGTAGAGTTAAAAACACTATTCGAGGTGTGAAACAGATATATTTTAGTAACCTTGTGGAAAGACGAGTTAGGGGATAGTTGTTGATGTTGTCGTTTGTAAACACAGAAACGTTAGTCGTTAAATGCATTAGCCATAACCAACGGGTCGTGTGTTAAAATATTGTTATCTATTTGTTATTAATATTAACGACATTGACTTTGGCATAATATCCAAAACATCAAAGTTTGCTGATGACGCGAAACTGTGCGCAAGGATCAACAATGTGGAAGATGAGAAAGTGTTAAAACAGGATTTGGCAAGATCGTGCAAGTGGTCTGGAGATTGGCAAATGTTTTTTAATATAGATAAATGTAAAGTTATGCAGATGGGAAGAAAAAACAAGGGCTTTCAATATCAATTGGGCAACCAGGAGCTATGATCAAGGGGGAAGAAAAAGACCTTAGAGTCATCAATCACGCAAGCTCAAAAACAAAGTGCAATCACAGCGGTAAAACCAAATCAATTACTTGGATTTATTAGAAGAACAGTGGTCAGCCGAAAGAAGTCGATAATTATAAATTTGTATAAAACTATAGTTCGCCCCCATCTTAAATACTGTGTTCTGATATGGGGTTCAAATTTGCAAAAAGATGAAGACATTCTGGAAAAGTTACAGCGGAAAGCAACAAAGACGATCAAAGGTCTTGGAAAACTTCATTACAAAGATAGATTGAGAAAGTGTGGACTGACTACTCTAGAGAGAGGAAGATGCAGAGGAGATATGATACAGACAAACAGGACTACGAGGTCATAGATACAAGTTTTTTTAAACAGCTCAGTTGTGAAAATCAAGCAAATATTTTTTAGCAGCAGAGTGGTAAACATCTGAATGAGCTGAATAACGAGACGGTTTCCGCTTAATCAACCAACAGTTTTAAGATCAAGCTTGAACAGCTAGCATATTTGAACAATTAATCGGCAGTGGTTCTCATACAGACACTAGTCTACTGAACCACTATAAACACTGTTATGTTATATTATGTTATAACAATTATGTTCAGTAGAAAACGTTAATTAGCTGATTGGAGATAAATTGGTTAGATAATTAGCTGGTTGGAAAGCTAGTACAGATGCATTGTTGTTAATGCACGCTAACCTGATTCGATTGCTCTCTGCCATCAAAACTCAAAAACCTTTCAAATCTTCTGCGTAATCTACAATGCATTTATACTTTAATGTGGTTTCACAAATGTTGTGCAATGGTGTACCAACAAAACCAGTACCACGAAGCAGCAAGGCGTTTTTAGTAACGTAAAAAATATTAATTATTTTAAACATGAGTGGCACAGCGGCGTGAGGAACTATAAACAGGCCTTTGGCAAATTCCTTATTTTCGCCCTTTATCTGAACTTTATATATTCTTGGCGTCTTCATACAAAAATCTGTTAGTTTACCTAGTATTGATAAACCCAAACCGAACCAAGCCAAAAATTCCGATTCGACTCGGTTTAGAGTTCTTAGTCGATTCGATTTTCAAACCTCAGTCTAAGTCGCGAATGACAGACGAAGCCGATATAGATGTTCAAAATATTGTTTTAAAAACTGAGGGTTATATATTTTTGCATTCTTTGCTTTGAAACCGTAACTGAATATGTTGTTGAAATATTTATCAAATTTTTATTTTCCAAAACTTGCGTGTTACTGGGTGTGTTGGAAATGTGTAGTTTGATGTAGTTAACCCACGATTCATTAAGTTTACGTTGAGGTGTTACTTAAAACAACTAATAAATTTCCCGCCATCCAAATATTTAAAATTTTGAGACAAACTATTTTTATTTATTTGCAAGTGGCATCTTTCTAAAATCTGACCAGATCCCGGCAACAAAAGACCAGCAGACACTCATAAACATCATACACCGTTTCGCCGCCCGTATTCTTTTCATTATCATACATATTTTTACTTACTTATTATATTCTAATTATTATCATGCTTATTATGTTCTTACTCTTACAAACAGTTACGAACTGAATGCCAGTCGCATGGAAATTTGATAACATTTTCTACATTTAACATAAGGGATAAATTAACGTATGTATTAAAAAAGTAACATAAAAGCTCCATTTTAAAAGTTGGTTTATAATTTGGGCACAAATTTCAAACAAAAATCATAAAATTATTTTATTTAACTTTCAAGTACTGATAATATAACAAACATATATAGGTACTATTCAAAAAATACTTATGGCCTCAATTTATAAAAATTTCAAGCACAAACATTTTCAGTTATAAAAAATATAAATTCGTGGTTCGGCGGAGTTTCCCGTTTAACCGCTAAAATCCGTTAAGTTAAACATACAAAGATGCTTTTAAAGTATACATTAATTTGGCAAAATAACGTAAAATAATCACACGCAGTAATAAGTTTACCTACTTGTTAGTAAATATCAAGCGTGCAATACTTTAGATGGGAGTGTTATTTGCGATAAAAACGTAACAAAGAAGCTTCTGAAATAAAAATGCATAATAATTCTTTGTTCTTAACGGGCAATTAGTCTAGCGTATTCCGTTGAATTATTGGAATCCACCAGCGATACACCTTCCCTTAACGCGTTTATATACAGAACAGCAATATGCACACGGATACTTTTTTAAAAACTTAATCTTAAAAATTCATTTGCATGATACACATATATAATTTGAATTTTCCGTACTATTGCAAAAACTTCGACTCCGATACCCAGATTACCAGAAGATACTCCCGAAAAATTTAGCTAGCCTAGACAAACGATATTTACTCAGCAAGTGAGCTCAAGTCTCTTGTGGGCTCATCTAAAAACTTACTTTCTTTTAAAATCATTATTATCAATTAAAATTACCTTGTGCTGTTGATGTTAGTTTTTAATCAGAGGTTGATAATATGGATGACATGAAAACATAAATAGTAATTGCGACTATTATATTTCGTCTACAAAATATCTAAGAAATATAAAGGTGATCCTCTAACAAAGGTTAAAAAAAGAATAAAGATATTATTCTCTCGTTTGCAGCAATCAACTCAGTGGTTAACAACACACAGCGTACAGCGAGGCACGATATTTTTATATTTTATAATCTTATTTTGTATTCTCTGAGGTCAGCCGTTGGTTCGAATAGACGAGTGTTTGGGCCCAGAAGAAATAAAACAATATATATAATAAGCAGATAATATAGAGGTCGCCATTTCTTTCTTGGCTTACATGAATACGCGCAAGACCACTGGATAGTGGATAGGCTGAGATTTTTTCCTTCAATGAAACCCGGTCACTGTACACCTTTAACTGTTACATTGCACCATCCTTATTGTTGAGAATGGTTGGCGATCTTTTATTCAGCAACCGCACAAGTGCGTCAATTTTCACAATAACTATGTTTTAACTTAGAAAAAGTAATCAAATATAATAACTGCTCATCTTGACCTTGACTGCTCATCAATGGCTCCGCTGAACCCGCTACTGCATATACTGGTAACTCAGCCACAAAAAACCAAATTAAATTAGCACATAGAGGCTAATATATGGAGACTAAATTAAGAAATATTTGTACTGCTCCTCGTTTTCACGCAAAAATTTATTATATAATAATTATTAAATAAATAACAATTAAACATAAATTTTCACAGCAAAAAATAAATACAAAACATACACTCGCACACCATCCTCACAATCGTATATGCATCTTGGTAGCATTCGAACAACACAAGCACGTTCGCCTACAAGCACGCAAAGCACACACCGGCACGGCGATATACCTTCGCTCTTTTTACTATAAAACAATCCGGAATTTCTCAATTCCATATATATATATATATATATATATATATATATATTAATTGGATTAAGACTGTCAGAAATGCAATTATTGATGAAAATCACAGCACGTTCGGCGTTAGTAAACTTCCAATTTAACTTTTCGATTTTTCTAACGGTTGATCGTAAATTATTTTCAAGTTTTTTTAGTTCTAAACCAAAATTTTTGTTAATAAAAAAAAACTTTGGTTTTGAACCGAACCGAATTGTTGGCAGTAAAAAATTATAAAGATTACGGCGTTTTCGTGACGTTAACTCTAAGAAAACGCAGTGATCTTTATAAATAATTGTATTTATGAATTTATGATAGTCTAAGCCCAATATATATATATATATATAAATATATATATATATATGAAAACACGCACAGGACATATATATATATATATATATATATATATATAAACGTACATACAAGTCGTGTTTGATATCTATAAGTTGTGAACACGGGGTCAAAAAAAAAACAAAAACAATTTTTTGAAATCATGCAACCATCCTTGAGATAATGATGATGTAAACAAAATATGCAAATCAGCATTTAAATTGAAAATGAAAAGACGAACACAGTCAAGTATCTGAGGTGATAATAATGTTCCTCGTACCGTTAGTGCAGTCGTCTTCTTTATTAATTACGTTCTTACCATTAACGTTAGAACAAATAGATGGAAATTCTCGAACTGTTTCCAGATGTGATCGGAAATCAAAAACTATACTCTTGTTCCCAGTCATAATTTTGTCATCTGAATTTAAAATATTATTGTCATCGCTGATCAAGCTGTGAGTGTGGTCGCTGTTTTGAACTACTTTGTTGTTGTTGTTATTGTGCAACTGTTTTATGCATGCGGAACTTATTAATGATTTCAATTTATCTTTGAACTGAGTTATTTTTGCCGGTGAACTAGTGTTGAAGCTGTTGACCTTATTATAACCAGCTGATGCAGCATTTGTAGTTTTGGTGGTGGATGTTATTTCACATGCACTGACATCGTCTAATTCGTTATTGCTCCATTGAGTCTTCACTGCAAGCTCATTTGAATAGTCACCCACATTGCCTACCTCACAGACATCACTAATATTTTTTTGCTTTTGCAGTTGGTGGCGGTGGGTAAAACTTTCCAACAAACTCAACTGTTTCAATTCTTTGTTACCTTGTTTAACATGTGTTAATTTATTTGTCGCTATTGCAATTTTTGATAAATGAATGTTGTGATGCAGTGGTACCTTATTCTGATTAACTGAATTTGATCTAGAACTTAATGGCTGCAAAGTTGATGAACGTGTGCTTTGACAAATATTCAAATCATTGTCATTATTATTATTATTATTATAATTGTTGCAGTGGTTCTGTGAATTTTTATCACAACTCTTATTTTTATCATTTCGGTTCTGTAAGTTGATAAGTTGGTTATGTTTCCTGACCAAGAACAAATATTTCTGTTTGAGCACTTTCATCCCTTTCAAGTGACTTCCACCTGGCATTTGGTTATCAAAATCATCACCACCACCCTCACCATCATCCTTATCACCACCATCATCATCAAATCACTGCTAACATCTTCATCACCTCTAACTTCAAATCACAACCACCAATATATTATATTATATACATTTATTTATTATCTATCAGTGATCCAAAGTTATTATTAACCTGTACGATCACCATTATCATCATCATCACTAAAAACATCCAAACACCATCATCAGCACCATTACCAACGCCACCATCAGATCATCACCCTCACCACCATCATGATCCCTTAGCATCAATGAAGCAAAAACAAACCTTTGCAGGACACTTCGTTGATCTTCTGCTTCAAGCACTCGATGAGGTGTTCAAGATTCTCAACTGTCCTGCTGCTCTCTCCGAAACCATCAACAGAACCGACGCAGCAGCCTTTCTCTCCTTCCATAACATCAGATCCCTTTCCGGCATGTTGTGTTTCAGCGGCTGGTTCGATAGGATGGAAAAAAACAAATAAACGAATGACATCTAATTTAATGCAAATTATAATGTCTATATATTTTGTTGCAACTGCTTACGCTAAAATAACATGTTTAATTAAAAGGAATGATTAACATGCATTTGCGCAAACAAATGACAAGTGCTATACAATACATGATGTTCACTAGATGTATTTCTCTCTACACACGCGCACACACACACGCACACACACACAACACAACACAACACAAAAAAGTATAAACAAACTAACATAAAGAGGAAGAACATTTGAACAAGTGTGATGAAGCCAACGAATCTGTAAAGAGTTGTTCCTGCAACTTTTCAGCTTCTAAGAAAATACTGATACTCTGTAAATCAAAATAAATTATCATAAAATAGAAATTTAACAAAATACATCAGCTCATCATATTATCTCGACAATTATTACAAGAAGTATTATCATCCAGCAGAATTCTTTCTCATCATTCATTATCACCATGACTATCTTTAGCCACAGATAAATCAATGCAACCGGAAATATGATTATGATTAGGCTTAATCGTCTTTTTAATGATTCTCATAGTTACAGAGAGGGCACATGATAAGCAGAGGCCAGTTAAGTCGGAGATCCGTCCAAGAGTGAGAAGTCCCTACAGGTTTCTGAAAGCTTACAACGATCACGCCTAACCATCTATCAACCATAATTATAACACGACTCTCGTTACAAACGTAAGAACAAATTTGAACGCAGACACTGCATCAGCAGGACTCGATGTTTTAAACATCATGTCGCCGTGCACTGTATTTACATCTGAAAACACGGATGAAAGCCATTTTTTCATGGTCGTGATCCATAATGCCTTTAGACACAATACAATATCAATCACTCACCGCTTCAGACACTCTTTAATGTTCATAGAAAATAATTTGAGCTACTAATTAATTCACGTAATACACATTGAAAAACAAAATAAATAAATAAATAGTTGCTGAAATATATTTAAAAACCTAATACTTGTCAAGCTTAATGCTTTTTAATATTGGTGCAAATCATCCTCTATAGAATCAGATTTAAAAAATAGGGACAGGTATAAAATTGAATGAGAGAATAAACTCACAGCTTGCTTCAACTTGAGAGCAGCCTGGTAGTAGACTGTTGTTTTGGCATTGTAAAGAGTGCAATTGTCGATGATCAGATCAAAATCTTTCTGGAAGTCGCGAAGGTGGAAATATTGCTGACTCTGTATTTTCTTCTTCATCGTACTGAAGTCCATGGGACAAGATACAATATCCAAATAATCAGGCACCTAAAGGTTTGTTTGTTTGTGAAACAGCCTATTTTTGTTGATTTAATGAAGTGATTGATGCTAACTGAACATCACAATATTAATTGTCTCTTCATACACTAGTTAATGTTTATGAAAAAATAATAAACACAATTAATTAACGTATTATGTGCTACGATTTGATCACGATAATAACGATCAAAGTTAGGTAATGATCAGCATGGTGACAACTCGCAAATAATATAAAAATGACAGCAGCCAAACATTATATGAAGCAAGATGTTTGAGAGCCACGTTATAAAATGTGGCACTGAACACTAAAGTCTGAAACTCCAATGAGGAGCGAGAGAGAATTTATAGAATGTACTGCACATACATGTAGAAAAGTAATCCGTTTTTATAAAGATTGACGTCCACAAAGTCACTATGAGAAGGTGTTCACTGTTCAGAGTTACAAAGCTTGGTAAAAGAAGAATTACTGCCTAATCATTAACTAAAACGACTGAAAGTGCAGAATTTTTCAAACTACACTCATAACAACTGCAATCTAATAACTAGCGTCAGCATCACCAACGATAAGAGCATTTTAATATCACATAGCTGAACTTACTTCTTTGACGTCGACAGGCTTGTGGAAGAACGAGCGGTGATCCTTACCTTGCAGCTGCTTCAAAGTGCTTAGAAGCAGCTCTCCAAGAGGATGTAGTGCAACAAATAATTTCTGCTGCTCTTCAATCTTTAAATAGATTTACAACACTTCATCCATATTTTTAATCAAACATGCAAAAATTATATATATGTGTGTGTGTGTATGTATATATATGTATTTTTGTGTGTGTGTGTGTAGTGTGTGTGTGTGTGTGTAATAACTTATATTAACAAGATAGTTTTGTAAATATGGGTGTATGTAATAGCTTATATTAACAAGATAGTTTTATAAATATTTTGGCGACAATTAAAGAAAATTAATCCAAATTGACAGCTGAGAAAAATCACGTTAAAGGTCCTATCACAAAATGAATGAAAAAAAAGAAGCAGGTTTGTTTTGCTTCTTAATGTCATCCCCATCAAACTCAAAATAATAAAAATATGGCCATAATTAAAGCCATCAGTTGTTATACAAATGAAATTTTGATTCAGGAGGAGGTGAGGCTGCATCAGAAACTCAGACAGTAGAAAACTGGCAAAACTGGTCGTTTCAGACACTGGGTCATAATAGAAGTAGTTCGTTACCAAGTTATCACATAATTTTAATCTGGTCAAGCTGTTTTTCAACTGCAGATGATGTTGCATTCTAAATTTAACATTTAATTTGAGATTATTTTCAATTTTCCAGTTGAGTTATATTCTAAAAAAAGTGAAATACCTGACAATTAATTTAATCAAGCGGTTTTTTACCACAGAAATTTGATCGTTTATGGAGACACCAGAAAGTAAAAAACTTCGTTCACAATTTGTGGACTGACCCTCGACATCATCGTCTAAATTTGGTCGACAATATAGTACTAAAGATCAACAAGTTGCTCTATTACGTTTGAGATACCTTTTATGAAGTGCACACTTGGACAAAGTCAGGCCTGAAAATAGTTCCTGATGAAAACAAATTTGATCATCGCCTTCCTAATATTAAAAGCGGTCATTCTAATGAATAATGACGTCAATGATATGCAGATTCATTCTCCTCGGGTGCCAACAAACACGTTGCAAAAACTGCTAAACAGCAAGTTAAAAGAAGAATTCCTAGGACAAATAAATCTCTGAAAATTGATAACAAATTCCAATTTGAAATCTATCTTATGTGAACGCTCCAGATGACAAACAGTGGCCTAAGTTAAAATATCAAGCTAATTATTATCTGTAACTTTTAAATTTAATTTAATAAAAAAATCAGATTTAATAATATTCTTTAAACTGGATATAACTTTTTTTTAAATTTCAATCTATAAAAAAACATTAAAATAAATATCTTAAAATATCTTCCATATTGCATCTTCAGCATCTCCCTTCTTTAACCAATTGTTAACAAATTTTCAAAGGCGTGCATTTCATTCCTAACCCTCTTCCCAACCATTCTGACATCATTGAGACTCCTGCGAGCTCAGCCACCACCACCATCCTTGCAACCTTCAACACCCTCAACAAGTCTTTATAAACTTCTCTTTTTTGAGAATCTGTTGATGTTCTCGCCATTATTATCTTTATTACAATTGTCATTTGAATGAAGACTTTGCTGCAAATTAACGTTATTCAACTGCACCATCATACTCTTTTTGATCTAATCAGATTTTGCAGGTGAATTGCCATTAGATGAGCATGTGGAGTTAAAATGGTTGCATTCACTACTATCGTCTTTGTTGTCGCTACTACATCTTTTATCATTTTTCTTCTTAGCCATGTTCTCACTACTTTTATTCTTGTCACTATTAATTCGTGTGACATGAACGTCAAATTTTGGGTTCCCGCCGGACCGATCTGAGAGCTTAGAATCATCAGCAGAAATGGAACTGTCATTTGCCTTTCTCTTTTTCACAGATTTGAAAAATGTGTAATCAACTAAATAAGATGACAAGCGCCGATGTCGTTTTGACCTTTTCATTCCAGCAGCTTCGTCACTAACATTTTCACAATCTTCTGATGACAGAGTTTTTTCAAACGGCATCAACGAATCTGCATAATACTGCAACCTGCTGGATGAGTTGACCCTTGGTTGTTGACTGTTGTTGTTGCTGATGATGTTGTTGTTGCTACTTGGACTTTGCTTCTTTAAAATGTTGTTGCTGTTGGTTGTGTGGTTAGCAGGAAGAGGAACAAGGTTGATCTTGTTGGGTTCATTTAGTTTTGAAGATGGCAGTTTTTCTAATTTGTGATGAGATGGTGGTCGGCCTCTTTTTTTTCCGGGAACAATGTTAGTGGTATTTGAATTTTCGGTTTTGAAGGGATCAATAGCTGCATGTATTTTGTGACTCTTGCCTTTCAGACATACATTAACAGGTTTGTTATCCTGCTTGCCAGGATGTTGTACAAAGAGCTTTTCAATGTCCTCCTCCTCTTCTCCATCTTCATCGGCCTCATCATCATCATCAACAACAACATTACCAACCAGAGTTTCATTTATTTTCTAGAATAATTACATTAATTAAATCTAAATAATTTTTGAATAAAGAATAAAACAAATTAAAAACGAGCAAAAGGTTTTAAAATCAGTATAAAAAAAAAACAAAAATATTTAGCAAACAACAAATGACCTTGCTGAAACTTCTCTTATATGGGTGAGAGCCATTCTCCTCATTGTCCTCATTTCGACTCAATTTTTTCGATACATTTGTGGCATTAGCACTTTCCTCACTCTTTAAATAAACAATAATACATTTATTCAATTTTATTTGCATTACAAGGTAACATTTTGCTTTTAACGTAACTCTTAAAATTATTTATTTATATATTACTATGTTTCATTTGGCCTGTTTTAAATCGCAACACGTAACATTTTAAGTACTATTTAATCTAATTTTATTTTATTTTGTTTACATTTATGGCAATATTTGTATCTCACACAAGGCTCTGAAGATGGTGTTTACACCGAATCAACGTTGTTAGCCAAATTATGTCACTTGTTCTCAATAAATACGATTTAGAACAATTCCACATTGTTGAGTGTATTTTCCAAAAGTTAATCAATGCTAAGTGGGCAAAAATATTTAATAAAATTTGCATATACATATATATATATATATATATATGTATATTTTTACAATATTCTATAAATTCTACCGAATGTTTGGCGTTAATATGTTTGTAGTTCGTTATATACTACTACAAACGAACTGTAAACATATTAATGCCAAACATTCAGTAGAATTTATAGAATATTGTAAAAATTATGGTCTATTACCAACATATAAGTATATATATATAATAAATATACATAATTTTTCTTACAAAAAAATGCTCACAGATATCATCTATTAAAATTTTTCTAAATTTTGGGCAGCAAGATGGTGTAGCAGTAAGGTGCCTGGCACTGCTTTTGCAGTGACCGGATTCGACTGCTATCACACGTGCTAGTTGTTGATGTCCCTGAGGAATATTGAAGAGAGGATTGTAATAAATGATAAATGAACAATATTTTAAAAGAATTGCAAGATAAGATATTAAGAAGTTTCAAATTGGGATGGGAGACAAGATAGATGAAATTAAACATGGTCTGATAGAGTTTCAGAAAAATGTGCAAGAAAATGCTAGAAAAATGACGAATGATGATGGTAGCCTTTCCAGAAAGATTGAAAATATTGCAAAAAACAATGTAGAAAAAATAATTAAGGATAACTTTCAATCTTTTAAAGTTAATCTAACAGGATCATGGGTCGATATAGTTAGAGAGGAAGTTAATAAGAATACTGAACAGTTTGGCACCAAAGTAAAAGATGTTAAGAATAATTTGGAACAAGCCTTTTGTGGTAGTATGTTAGCAATAAAAAAAGAGGTTGTGTCAGCTAAGGATAGGATATAGGCTTTGAAAGATGCTATGGATAGGAAAAATAATATTTGGCTATGGGTTGGCATGTAAGTGTGGAGATGCTTGAGACGTGTGGGTGTGTGTCTGTGTATTACTTTTATTATTATTTGAACAATTCATGCTTTCATTTAATTAACTAATTTTTTGGGATTTGGGATTATGGGTTGTACACCTGCATTCATTAAATTTTTTCCTGTTATGTTATGTTAAGCAAGAAAATTGTTGTTTCCAAATTTGTGGCCCTGGGTATTGGGGATAGTTTGGTAGAAAGCTTTTGAATGGGTTCAAGCAAGAAAATAAGGATGAAGTCACAAAAATTCAACACTAACTGTGCCAATATTGATACTTACTTCTTTGGTTTGAAATTAAATGTTTAAAATTCAATGTTAAAAAAAATTTGATTATATTGGAAGTAGAACTGAATTACACTGGCAGATCAAATAAAATACAGTTGAGTTTTGTTCACATTAAAACCAATAATTAACATCAAATGAAAGTAAACAAGTTATAAGAACTCACTTGGCAAGGCAAAAGTTTTGGAGCCAAATTTAGTAGTAAACCTCTTATCAACGGGACGCCATTTCTCGAAAGTCTCTTGAGCAGCCAATAATTTTTAACTTTTTGCATCATGTTTTTGTTATAAGCCCGACCTCCATCTGTTTCTTCACTTCCATCATGTGGGATGTCCAATTGATCAAATATCATCTTAAGGCTTTCAAATAACAAAATAGATGAATTTTATGGAGATACAATTCTAGACAATACAAAAAAATATCTAAGTATAATTTATTGAAATTTTATGATAAAATTAGGAAGCATTTGAAACTCTCACCAGCTGTTTGGCATTGTAGGATACGACAAAACCTGAACAACCCTTTTCATTTTCAGCATAACAGCTTTCGTCATTTCAGATCTTTTTCTCATCACCATTTCTGTTTTAGCTTTACTCATAGGTTCATACTCGTCATCATTATCAGCAATATCAACACCATCAACTTCACTGTCGTCTTCCTCATCATTATCATGACCATCAAGCTTGAGCATGGGCTTATGTATATCACAGTATGCAGATTTTTTCACATTACCAATTGAGTGATTAGATAGAAAAATACCAGAAAAAGTGGAGGAGCCAGATCTTGACCTCATTTTGAGATGGAGACCTGCATAGAGAGCACAAGAAACATGAAAAGCAGTGTAACAGTTGGGTCGATGGCACTGAATGCAAGCACCAACACGCCTCCTTCTGCAAAGAAAGCACATGAGACGCCATCTTGCGGGTGGAATCGTATCCAGTCCATCGATAGGTTCTAGAAAAACAGGATTTGCAAAGTGGACTTCAGGAACCCAAGCTGCACATAGAATGTGAGCCCACCGACCATCCACTGTTTGTTTCAGTACTCCACCTGGACTGGGACATAGACAGCATTGCAGCTGAAAAGCCAGAAAAATTTAGTAACATTTCAATGAACAATCTAAACAATAATCATATATAATATAATCATAATGAAATACTAATGGAAAAAAAAAGAATAAAATATAAGACATGATTAAATGAAGAATTAATCACCTCTTTTGATGGCGAGTGCAGGCATCTCCGACATAACCAGACACCCTCAGGCACGTATGGAACTCCATAACACTCCTGGTGCACACCCATATCGCACATGTCGCAAAACAAAATTGTGTTGTTTGAAGTACATGAACCATCGTAACATATACTACATAAGGCATTGTCATCAACTGGCTTGTTACAAGTTGCATGCAACGAACTGGACATAAGGCTATTGTTGTGCTGTTGCAGCTTGGCTTCCCCTCTTGTTACAAAGTAACTAGCCTTTTCCAATTTATCTATCAGAGTTTCAAATTTTGTTTCATCTATTCTGCAGTGTGCTTCATTCATTTTCAACCATGTTCTATCCTAAAAAAATATGTACAGAAAGATTTTCGCACAGCAGTAACTACAGTCATCAAATATAATTTCAACAAACCAATGAACACTTTTAATAATTATATGCACACAACAGATTTTCTATTAAAAATAAATTAAATTATATCGGTACTTCTTCATCTAAGCAGTAGTCTGTATTTTCATTTTCTGATCCATTCAGTGGGCTTTTAAAAGTAATGTAATCTTTAAATGGCATTTGAAATTTGGAGTGAATTATAGGAGAATCATAATAATCTTTAATTAATCTGAAACTAGGAGTGGGAGTTGGCTTCTTGGGAGTTTCCTTGAGAATGGATTCCTCTACATGGCTGCCTTGTTCAACATAAGTTCTGTCACTACTTTTTAAAGAATAGTTGGTTGTTGCGTCCATGATTGAGCTATCACTTCTTTGAGAAACAGTTACCTTAGTATTAAAAAAAATTTATTTGAAAATTGACATTTGTTCAAATTATTAACAGATGAAATAGTAACAATTGGTTTGCATAATAACAATATACATCTTAATGCAAAAAATTATGGGTCAAATAAGAAAAATAATTATTTCTGTTCTTTTAAAAAAATTTTTAAAGTTTAAAAGGCACAGAATGAATGAAACATACTAAAAGTTTATCTGAATCCTTGATTTTATGCAACTTGTCATTAATTTTTACTTTGCATTTAATTTTTCCATGATCATGTTGTTCGCCATCGCTTTGTTGATATCTATCATTTATATCTTCTAAAGAAACATTTTCTATTGAGCTCACTGACTTGGGTGGAGTCATAGGACTTTTTGACTGTCTATGATGCCATCTGGCCGATGTTGTAGATCGTCCATCCCCTGTAGAACCGCTTTTATGGGTGTTGATAACATGAAAATGCATCCCTGAATATGTTTTGTAAACCTTTTCACAATCTTTGAAAGGACATTTATATGGTGGTTTTGTAGCCTTCAATTCATCAAAATAGGCCTCGTAGTCAAAATTTAAGACCATGTCAGTGTCTGTATGTGTATTGCTACTCAATTTGAAAAAACTTTGTAGATCCGGACACAAATAATATTATTAATAATAAAATGTTGTCAGTGGTATGATACTTGTACGCCTTGTACTCGGCGGTCACAGCGGCACCGGTCCTCAATTTTATTCTGGTTTTCTTTCTTAAGAAAGTACAGCACAGGCCACAGTGGTTCCCAAGAGAGATCAACAAGACAAAAATGACAATTATCTATATTTTATAGTATATCTATATACAGTCCAGTTTAATTCATAAGTCCTTAATAAAATAAACTGTATCTCTTCTGGCGGATTCAAATTAACGTTTGCAAATTAAACAAAAAGTTGAATAAAAAAAGTTGATGTTTGAATAGTATCGCCATTTTTAATCACGTGGTACATCCATGGGTACATCTTTGTTTTTAGATCTTTGTTTTGGTTTATTCGATTTACAAAACAACCGCACACATCATGTTTAGATAAAATATCACATATAGGAAATTCCTTGTTATCGTTACATATACCATGTGAAAGGCGGCCGTGGTAATTTTAGAATCTTTAATATTTTCGCCATCTTTTTTTGAAAACAAACATTTCGCAGATTTGTGACCAATATTAATTAACTCAATTATATAAATCGCTGAAAATTGCTTGGAGGATCAAAAATATTTATTAACGTACAAGTCGTCCCATGATCACTTACTCAATTACTTTTTTAATGCTGTCCGCAAAAGTGGTATGCATTGAATCTTATTTATTTTTTGTATCTTGCTGAATGCATTTGTTTTGTGTCTTTGTAATGATAATTTTAGGTGGCTGGAATAACAATTTGACAGCATGAAAATTCAGGTAATGTAGTCAACTTTGATGAGACCAATTTTGTGTTACCAGATGTAAATATTTTTTGAAAGCCTGATGTAAATATTAAATAGCAGGAATATATCTAAAGAGGCTTTTGATAAAATTGAAAAACAAGTTTTTTTTATTTTTACTTATTTTGGATTGTATGAAAGATAAAATTTATATAGAATGTGTTTACATTTTTAAAGTACAATTTCGGTTGAAACATTGAAAGAAAATGCTTTGGCATATATAGCCAGTTGGGTGGTGTCAAAAGTGTACTCCAACATTGACTGTGAAGTATGCATTGATAGACTCATCACTCAAACCAGAAATGAAAATTGTAGTTGTCATTTGCTATCAATTAAAGATATGGTGTTTATTGTTACTTCTTTGTTGGGATTATTAAAGTTAGCAAATGATCATAATATTCTTTTTATCTAATTGTAGATGCAATGATAAAATTTATATATAAAAACAATAAAATTTAATAAAATTGAAAATAGCTTTCTAATTTATATTTTCTATAATCTGTACATTGATGAAAAAATGTTAAAGATAATGGGAGCAGAAAAAAGAACTGTTGAGTTTAAAATATCTATTATAGGTTGGGTAGAAAATCAGAGGAGGCCAAACCAAGACCAGTTTTAGTACAACTAGCAAGTTTAACTACCAAGAATTTGTTGCTTGCAAACTGTTTTAAACTGAGAAACTCAACATGTTTTAGTAAAGTTATAATAAATCATGATTTATCTAAGGAAGACAGAATCAGTAATAAAAAAATTCTTGAAGAGAAAAAAAGTGAAATTGCTGCTAAAGAAGATATCACTAAGTGGATTTTCAGGTTAAAAGGCAAACCAGGAGACTTTCATGTGATTGCTTACAGAAGGCAAAATTTAGCATCATAAATAATTTAAGCTGTAACAACAACAATAATTTAAGTATAATTATGTCCAATGTGGATTCTTTAACTAACAAGTTTGAGGATTTAAAAATATTTTTGCAGAGCTTGGAGATTTCACCAGATTTGATAGTTTTGAATGAAGTAAATCCAAAAAACTTTAGAAATTGTAGAGTTTTATCTGAAATAAATATGAATGGTTACTCCATCATTTCCTCAGGTTTTGCTGAAGTCAACAAAAGAGGTTTGGTGTTGTACTATAAAAATTCAATAGTTGTTTCTGAGGTTGCCATGAAATCAGATTTCAAAGAACATATTTCTGTTAAACTTGTGATGTCCAAAAGTATTTTAAATATTGTTTTTATTTACAGAAGTCCAAAGTCTGATGAAAAAAACAATAAAAATTTGTTATCTTTGTTAATTGAGGGTCTTTCATTAAATGGTGACTTCCTAATGTTGGGTGATTTTAATTTTCCTGAAATTGATTGGGAGACATTTAGTTGCAGAGGAAGTGATGAAAAAATTGAAAATGAATTTTTGAGTATTCTGAAAGATAAATTCTTAATTCAACATATTAACTTTCCAACAAGATTCAGAGATGGACAGGCAGCAAACATCCTAGATCTGGTAATATCAGCTAAAGAGTTGGTCCGCGACATTATGCATCATCCACCTTTGGGTAATAGTGACCATTCTATTGTGGAATTCAAAGTAATAGGTTTCAGATGCCCACCTGAGAAATACAAGAAAAAGTATTATGATTCAGGAAATTATGAAAGTTTCAGAGAGCTTCTGTCACAAGAACTTGATAATCGAACAGGTCAGAATGAGGATAATGAAGAGTTCTGGAAATTTTTCAGAGCTAAATTGACTACATATACTCAACAGTTTGTTCCTGTTAGAAGTAATAACAACAATTATAAATTTAAAATGAGCAATGAGCTAAAAAATTTAATCAGGGAAAAGCGATTGATTTGGAGATCCATTTATAGATATGGCGATAACAGATTGGAAGCTTACCGTAAAACTAGAGAAAAAATAAAAAAAATAACCAGTGAATTGAAAAAACAATCTCAGGATAGAATTGCCAGAAATTATAAAAGTAATCCGAAATTATTTTGGAACTATGTAAAGAAAGTTACCAGACATGTTGAATCGATGAGTCCACTATCGGTGGGTGGTAGAATTGTTACGAATGCTGAAGAAAAAGCAGAAGCATTTGCAGATTTTTTTTCCTCGGTCTATGAAAAGGAGATAAACTTTTTCGACCAAAATTTTCAAGTAATTGATGGTACAATAATGGAAGACTTGAAGATAAATAAAGAAATGGTAGCAGACAAATTGAAGAGATTGAATACCGGCAAATCCGCGGGTCCAGATTTGATTCATCCAAGAATTCTGTGGGAAATGCGTGATGTGGTTACCACTCACTTGAGTCGTATTTTCCAATGTTCATTGGATGAGGGTATCGTTTTTCGTGATTGGAGGCAGAGTCATGTGATCCCGTTGCACAAGAAAGGTAGAAAAGATCTTGCTCAGAATTACCGTCCAATAGCATTGACGTCAATTTGTTGTAAGGTCCTGGAGGGGCTGATAAAGGACCATATTATGAAATACTTTATGGAAAATAATCTTTTTTCGAAGAGTCAGTATGGTTTCATTCCTGGACGCTCCGCGGTTTTGCAGCTGTTGAAATTTTTAGAGGCGGTGGTTGATGGAACAGATCATGGTTACGAAGTCAATGTAATCTACATGGATCTGGAAAAGGCGTTCGACAAAGTTTCACATAAACGTCTGTTGTTTAAGCTGGGGCGGTATGGGGTGAATGGTAAGATAGTAAAATGGATTGAGAATTATCTCAACAACAGAACATTTCAGGTGAAATTAGAGGATACATTATCTAAGTCAAGACCAGTCCTGAGTGGAGTTCCCCAGGGTGGAGTTTTGAGCCCTCTACTGTTTATTATCTATATCAATGATATTTCGTCAGTATGTGATAACATCTTGCTTTTTGCTGACGACTCAAAAATCTTTAGAGTGTTGAAAATAGAGGAAGACAAAAATAGTTTTTTGCAAGATATTAGAAAATTACTAACCTGGTTTGAGGAATGGAAATTGAAAATAAATACTGATAAATGCCAGCTACTAAGAATCGGTTCCCGCCAGCCGTGTACTTCATACACCATTGTGGATGATGATATTTCGAGGTTCAATCTTCCTGAGGTTGATGAGTTATCAGATCTTGGAATAGTTGTGGATAATAAAATGAGGTTCAGAAGCCATGTATTGAAAATAGTGCACAAAGCAAATTCAATGTTGGGTATTATTGCCAGAAACTTTAAGGGCCTTTCAAACGAGGCTTTTTTGTTGTTGTTCAAATCGTTGGTGAGATCGCATTTGGAATATGGAGTGCAAGTGTGGAATCCTTATAGAGTTGGACTAATAGACGAGGTGGAAAAGGTACAAAGAAGAGCAACTCGTTTGATAAAGTCTTGTAGAAATCTTTCATACGATGATCGACTGAGGAAACTGGGTTTGCCGTCTCTTGCCTTCAGACGACGAAGAGCCGATCTTATATTAGTTTATAGGATAATACACGAGGGTGTTTCGGCTGATATTGGACCTACTTTGTTTTTTTCTGGCAATGAGCGTACAAGAGGACATAACCTCAAATTAAAAGCCTCAATTTCTCATAAAGACTGTCATAAATTCTACTTCTCAAATAGAGTGGTGGAAGATTGGAATATGCTGCCCTCGGTTGCTGTTAATGCGGATTCTCTGCCTGTTTTGAAATCGACAATTGATGATTTTTTTGGTGATATAAAGTTTAATTGGCGAGCAAACTTTTAATTTAATTTATTGTAATTGTTTAATTCTAATTGATGTCTGTAGAAAATTTCTTTGATATTTTTATTTACAGTCATTTTTCGGTTGATAATTCGAATCGAATGATGGTTTAATTATGTTTTATTTAATTTTATTCCTTTAACCTTCGGACAATCATTTATTTTGCTTAGTTTTTTGAGTTTTGTTTTGTGATGGCAAGGGGCTTGCCCGTGCTATGAAATAATAATAATAATAATAAGCCTAAAATAAAAATGTTCACAAATGATATTTTGAATCATGGCCCACATATAATGAAAATGATGTATGGAATATATTGTCATTTGAATTATGTAATTGTTTTAATTGTAGAGCAATATTATAACTTACGACTTAATCATTACAATAGCACAATAAACGTTGAGTTGAGGAGATTGGAGAAAAGACAAAATTTATGTAAGTTAATATTATTTTCTGGATTATAACATTGCATAAATTATTTTTATTTTTTTGTTGATTTCCCTTATCCTTCATTACAATGGCAATTAAATATTATTTACTGGATTATGTGGGGAAGGTGGGGAGCGAGTGATAAGTAAAATAGACCCCTGTGGGGTATGTGATAGGAGAGTGAAGGCTAACTCGGTATTGTGTATAGGATGTCAGAAATGGGTGCATAAGAGATGTAGTGGTGTGAGGGGGGCACTGAAAAAGATGAAAGGCACGTTCAAATGTAAGAAATGTGTTCATGGTGCGATTAATAGGACGAACGCAAGGACGGGGTTGAGTGGTGGTATTGAAAGAGTGGAAAGCTTTGTTTACTTAGGGAATAAGCTGAATGCGGATGGAGGATGTTTGAGCGCAGTTACGGCTAGAGTTCGTGTGGGATGGATGAAATTTAGGGAACTGGGTGGGGTATTGTGTGGAAAGAAATGGTCAGTGAAGATGAAAGGGAGGGTATATAAAGCATGTGTGAGAGCAGCGATGGTATATGGTGGTGAAATTTGGGTGTTGAGGAGAGAGGAGGAAAGTGTACTGCAGAGGGCTGAAAGAGCTATGGTGAGGATGATGTGTGGGGTTAAAGTGAAGGATAGGAGGAGTAGTACAGAGCTGATGTCAATGATGGGACTGAATGAGGACATTGTGACATTGATAAGGAGATCGAGATTGCGGTGGTGTGGACATGTGTTGAGAAGGGATGAAAGGGTCGGGATTAGGCGAGCGTTGGAGTTCGAGGTTGAAGGAGTGGTAGGAAGGGGTCGTCCGCAATTGGGATGGAGAGAGCAGGTGGAGAAGGACAGGGTGAAAGCGGGGTTGCGTGATACTGAGGCGAGTGACAGATGTGGATGGCGTCGAGGGGTATTTCGGTTTCATCATAGGTAGCCAAACGGCAACCCCCGATCTCGGGGAAAATGCCGTCTAAACGTGTGTTGTTGTTGTTACTGGATTATGACAACAAATCAAAGTTATTTGTTAAATAATAGTATGTATGACATTTCATTAAGAGAATATTATATATTTCACGTTTTGCCAATTTTCTTAATGTTTTTTCTTTTATTAGTTTTGCTAGTTTTTTGATAAGATTCGTATTTTCTTTTTATTTAATATATGTTTTGTATATTTTAATTGTCACTGTAACAAATTCAAAAATTATATTTTTTAAATAAGCTATATTGTTTTGTCGTAAAAAATATTACAGTTAATTTTTTTATGTAACTTATATATAATTAACAATTAAATGCTTTTTTATCTATGCTACACAAAATTATAGCTCTGCATTATTACGGCCACCATTTGCACCTGGTATTCTTCTTTTTCTCGTGTTTTATACTTTCAGGACATTGGTGACATTCTAATTATATGTGGTGACCAATGGTCACTGACCGTCGACCTCCACAAAACCCGATCTTTAACGCTTTGTAGTAGTTGAAATGTGGTGATAGCATCTCGTATTATTGGCCGCTAAATGTTATAAATTTTTGATTTTTTATATATGTTATGTTTTATATACATGTTTTCAATATTTCACTTTAAATCATTAATATTTTTATGTTCTAATAATTAACAGTTTCAATATCAATTCATTTTTAGACATATTTACCTTATTTAATCTAACTTTTATTTATTATTTCGAATTTTGTTTGCATGAGGCACTAATGTAAAATTTTGCAGTGCTTGCAGTGCTAAAGAAAAACTGGTATAGTTGTTTGTATGCTTGTACGACGAGTGTGAATGAATATTTATTATTCAATTCAACATTGATTTTTATAATAATTTTTATAAAGTAGTGGTTTATTCTTTTTTTAAATGATAATTTAATTACGATGTTTTAAAAATATTTAGTAAAGTATATATTTCGTATTAGTTGTTTGTTGAAACCCATGCAATTTCGTAAATAAGCCAACCATGGCTTCAGTAAGCCACTAAAACCAAAAGCAATATTTTTATTTAAATTGGCAAAAATAAATTTAAATTATTTAATTCGATTTAATTTCAATAAGCCACTGTGTTTTTGAAATCAAAAGTAATAAATTTTTAATTTAAATGACATAAATAATTTTAAATTATATAATTCAATTTAGTTACAATGTTTTAAAAATATTTAGTCTAGTAAACATTTTGTATTAGATGTTTGATGAAACTAATGCAATTTCATAAGTAAGCCAACCATGGCTTCAGTAAGCCACTGAAACCGAAAGCAATATTTTTATTTAAATTGGCAAAAATAAATTCAAATTACATAATTCGATTTAATTACAATGTTTTAAACATATAAAGTCAAATAAATATTTTGTATTAGGGGCTGTCCTTAAAGGAAGTCACGCTTTTTTGGCCCCCCTATCCCGTGTCACTGACTGTCACAAATCAACCAACTCCCCAAAAATAAGCATGTCACAAAACTTTACCCTCCCCCCTCTTCGTAAAGAGTAATTAAGCAATGTAATTGTTCTAAGCATTTTAATTTTTATTAATATCAAAATAACGAATGACAATTTATATGACGATAGTTTGATATCTAAATGGTTTACCGTAGTTAAAATATAACGAATTAATATTAACTTCTAAACCTACACAGCGATAAACTTTAACGATGGCATTTAAATTTGAATTTTCCTTTAATTAATATTTATGAGCTATTTGCTCGCTTGAAAAATTTAATATTCATTTTGCGCATATATATGAAAGAAAATGTATTTATTGTTTTATTTAAAAAAAGAAACGTCACACTTGCGTTTATCCCTTCCTTTCCCTCGTCACAAAGTGTCAAATATTTGAATCCTCTCCCCCTTTGAAGCGTGACATCCTTTATGGGCGGCTTCTTAGTTATTACTCGAGAAATTTTGTAAGTAAGCCAATAAGCCAAGGAAGCTAAATAGCACGACCCGTTTTTCAACGCTTAACTGTAAGGCTTGCATGCATCTTGTGACTAAGTTGTATTTTATTTGTTCACAGTGTCACTGGCTAAATCATGTAAAAGGCTCGTAATGACTCATAGCCATAAAAAACTCTTAAAGCAGATGAAAATGAAGATGCTGAGAATCCAACTTCTCTGGTACCCACCTACCTCTACTTTCATAAAAAAGTTCATAAAAATTTCTTCCATAATAATAATTGTTAAAAATTTTAAAAGTACTCCTCCTTTTACAAAAAAACATCAATTTTGTTTGTTGGACCATCTATCTACGAAGATATTTGTTAAAGTATATACACGACTTTTTTGTTAGCGTTTCATTGATTTTACCGCAATTATGTTAAATTTACTCACTTTCCTAGTTCAAAACGAAGTTTATTTACAAAAAACAAATTGACAAAGAGTATAATTTGTATTGTAATTTGTTATAATAATGCAGGTTAAGTTATATATATATATATATATATATATATATATAATGTTGGTAATAGACCATAATTTTTACAATGTTCTATAAATTCTACCGAATGTTTGGCGTTAACTACAAACATATTAACGCCAAACATTCGGTAGAATTTATAGAATATTGTAAAAATAAATAAATAAATATATATATATATATAATATATATATATTACTTAATTCATTTTAGGTTACAGTCCATGCTGCCCATTATGAAATAATCAATTAAAACACAAATGATGTATTTCAAACTTGAATGAACGTTGGCAAAATATATGTATACTATTTTAATTATAATAAACTAAGTGAAAATAATCAAAGTAAGTTATTCAAACAAAAAAAATGCAAAAAAATACATTTAAATCTAGCTATCTAACAAAAATAAATATACAGAGTAAATAACCACTTGTCTGAAAATAAATTTAAGTTGAATAATAAATTTATATTGAATTTCGTGGGCATAATTAAGTGTGAATGCAACAGTAACTAACTTAATATAAGAAAATCTGCTACAAAATTTTAGCTATCAGTTTCAATGTTTGGTTCGAGTTTTCTAGGCAAAAACCCTTGGTTGGCCCTTTTCTTGGTAAGGCAGCAGGAGAAGGTAGAATTGTTACTTTGGGTTTGTAAGGTTTAGGTATTATTTCTGCAAGTGGTGCTGGCGGAGTAAATGATACTGAACGAGAAAATGATGCTGAACAAATAAATGATGCTGTAGTCACAGATGGTAATGTTGAAGCATTAGTATTGAATGGATTGGTAGTCAGGCCAGCTGGGACTGGTAAAGTTCTAGAAAACTTGTCAACATAATCTTCGTCGACTGGTTCCTCTATAATAGTGGAATCAAAGTTTACTGTATTACCAGCAGGTGTGGTTGAAGATCCTGGAATGTTTTTTGGTGCTATGGTAATTACCTTGTTGACTGTGAATAAAAGATTTTTCACAGCTCGCTGGTTATATGAGGTTGAATTAAGACTGTTGTTAACCAACTTACTATTGCCGTCACTGCAAATGTTAATATTTCTCTTATTGATCCTATTAATGTTCACTTTATCAATATCGCTGTTACCGATAGAATTGACATCATGATGGTGATTAGATTTTAGAAAGTCGTTGGTCTTTGTAGTGAAGGAACTGGCGACTATCTTGCCATGCTTAGTCTTCATGTGACGTTTGTACGTGTTCTTAGTTCTGAACTTCAAGGGACAGTCGGTACAGAGGAACGGGGTTTCTCCAGTGTGTTTTCGGTTATGCTCCTGCGATCAATCGATATATATATAAGATATAAGTATAAATCGTAGATATAGTATAAATATAATATATATATATATATATATAATAAATATAAAAGTAGATATAATTATAAATCGATATAAGTATTTTCTCAACAAAATTTTGAAATGTATCCATCACCAGACAATTCATAGACAAACCACATAGATAATGCAGTCGAGAATTTCCTTTTCAAACCCAAGTTTTTCTTTCAACCATGAGTTTAATCTCAACTTTTTCTAGTTTTTAAAATCTTAATTAACAGAGAACCTGATCTTCGATAATTAAAACTTTACTAAACTATTTAAATCTTCTCAACCTCCCACCCCACAGACCACACCACCTCTCACATGAACAACTTGTATGCTTACATGCTTACCCATCTTTGTTTAAACTGATTAAGTCTTTAAAATCAACCAATTAAAATACACGAGTTTTTATATAATATATAATTCATGTAATAACAATTCACGCATAGTAGTAAAAATACTAGAATAGACAAAATATTCAACTACATTTCACAAAATACTCACCTTGAAATGACTGGGATGTCTAAACATTCGACCGCAAGATTCACACTTGAATCGATGGATGTTGTCGTGTGTGAGCAAGTGGTAGTTAAGACTGTGCTGCCTTGTGAATGTTGAATTACAGCGAGTACATACATACGGCTTTATACCTGAAAAAATTGATAAACATGAAATCAAATCATGAACATGAGTTCAGAGTATTTTCATACAATTATTAGAAGTTCTTCATTATTTTTTCAGTACAATCAACTTTAGTCAAAACAAAAACAATATGGTTAAAGTCAAAATTCAATAAAGAAAAAAACTCAGTTCAATTCTCAATCGTGAAGACATTTTTAATAAAACAAAATTTACAAAAAAAAATTCCAAAACGGTTTTTTTTAGCCAATGTCTATTATTTTCCGTGGTTCATAAAAAGTATCATTGCCGAAGCTTGATGCATAAATGTAGAAAATATGAAGAAATTTTTTTTCTCAACTAGCACAACAGAAAAAAAAAACTAATATCACATGTCATTGCAACAACAGAAGATTTTTAAATTAATTGACAAACTTTCTTTCTACAACTACAGCGAAAGCACCTCACAAAACACCAACACAGACTTTACACCCAAATATTAAAATTGAATATTTTTGAAATAGATCAAGTGAGCCTAGAAAAAATTTTAATAATGATCACTGATCATGTGAGGCCAGCCTGGTCATCAGAATGATAAACAGTGCAGCGGCAGATGTCGCCATGGCCGTGCAAAGACACTTACTAATACTGATTCATTGATGATTAACAATTGAAGATTACAAATTAAAAAATGTTCAAGAGACTGAATGAATGTTACTTTAAGGACTAATAATAATAAAATTCATCTTCCAAACATACCAGCGTGACTTTGGTAATGGTGGAGTAACGTGGATGTGGCAGTGAATGGCTTGGTCCTGCAGATCTTGCAAGTCAAAGCCATTTCAGAATCCTCTCTCTTCTTGCTTCGTAACTCATTCAGGTAGTAAAGAGCTAGACGCTAAAAACAACAGTGTTGATTAAATAACTGTGTTATCATAAATTCGATGGTTGAAGCCATAAAAATCTAAAAAATATTATTAATGATAAATAGTATTGTTATTAATATTTCTCTTATAATTATTTCCATGATGTATCAATAACACACATGGCAAATGCGAATATGCACAAAACACACACACAGTACATGTGAATGTGCGTGAATCAATTCATCACGTACAGTGCAAGAAAAAGACGGGGACCTTATGCATTCAAATGCCGAATCCAGACACTGCAACAACAGGATCATGTACCTTAACCATTAAACTATCTTGAAATTACAATAATTTTCATAAAATTAATTTTTCATGTACAATATTTATTGTATTTTTGAACCATAAAATGGCAAACCTTGATTTCCAGATCAGACAATGGAGTTGTTTGAGCTTCGAGGCGTTCAACCTCCTCTTTATTTATATCTTTCGTCATAACCGTTTGAAAGGCTTCAGTGTACTGGGTTGCCAATATGCCAGTGTTGTTCATTCTGTTTGGAAGGGGTCCAGAGAGCAGAGTCGGTGGGGCTGTCAAAAAAAAATTTATTGAATAAAAAACTATTAATTATTATAATGGCCAGTAAATCAAATAATTTTAATCAAACTACTGGTAGATGTAAAACATCAGCCACCATATCATTATAAGCAAAATAAATAAAAACTGATCATTCAAATATATCATTATAATAAAATATTATTGTTATTTATATTAAGTATAAAATCAGCTATCAGGAAAATATATTCATAATAAAAAAAAACTCACGTTTGCAAGATTTGATGTTTGGTAATATAACATTATCTTCATCAGGACTAACTTCAAACACATGGTTTGGCAGATATCCAAGATGATCGGGCAGGTCATGCAACGACATCTTAATAAAAATATTTTTCATCATACACTATATTAAAAGAGCAGTACAAACTAAAAATTTTATAAAATGAAGCAGACTTTGACAATGGGTAGAATGAGTTTGAGTTCATTGAAGTTGTCCTCTAATAATGGAAAAGTAATTCGATGCAGAGGCGCATCTCGCTTTGAATTGTGGCTTTCATTGTCTGACTTATCCTTATAAGAACTTCTATGTTTGAAGTCATAAGAGTGATCAGTGCACCAGGGATGATCCTTTATTGAACACACGTGCTTGTCTCGACTTTCAACAAATTTCTTATGAACCACTGTTTCAGGAGATACTTCTGTTTTTTTAGACAAAATTGAAGGTCGGTGCCTTGAGTTTTTTAAAATATTTAAAGATTTTATCTTTGGAGCATTCATGTCCAACTTGCTACTTATAGACATATCGTTGTCGGTTTTCTTCTTGGATTTTTTAGTATTTTTTGAAATTACATGCTTTGTAGCATTAACAGAAGACATTTTCTTGCATGCAGAAAGTTTACTATACCATTCCAAATCGTCATCTGACTTCTTTCGCTTTCTACCCAAATTTTCATTTATTTCACTATCATCATTTACTACTTCATTGTGGGAACCTAAAAAGTCTTCATCACTGTCATTAGAATCAAGTTCTTCCAACTTTATTTCCGGCATTTGAAAAACCACATCATCACTGGTGTTGATTGTCCTGAAGGTGTCACCATTTTTTTTGTTTACTTTTGATTTTTTTTCTTGTCTTCTTCCAGATGCTGAAAAAAATTTTATTCCATCAACAAATTGAAAAATTTACAAAAAGGCAAGTTAAAAATGGAACAAAATCACTTCAAATACAAACATGTTACAAGATAACGATTTATAAGATCAAAGCCAATTAAGCTTATTTATTCCTAGCATCCAAAAATGCCATCGTTGAAATAACAAACATAATAACATTTGGTCTACAAATTTGTTCATGTGGCATATTTCAATTATAATTTTATTTTAATTTGGTTTGAATACTTCTTCAAAAACTAATTTATTAGTCATAACCATTGGTGACTCAATTGTTTAAATAGCTGCTAAACAGACAATGAACAATTTCTAAGAGGCTTTACATTTTTTAGAGTTACCAAGTGAGAAACAAAATTCATTAACAAATTTCAACAACTAATGAACATATTGATAAATGCATTACCCAAGGCTAACTCAAACAGCAATAAAAATATTCACCACCAATAAATAACAATTATTCACCAAGAAAAACAAAGTAACATTGTGATTGACATAACCTTCAGATGAAACTTTAACTTCATGCTTGATCCCATTGTCTATATAACCTGTAGGTGGATCATTTACTACTCCCAATGGATTTGAATCATTAGAATTTTGAAAATAATCATCATACGGTTCTTCTTTAATGGTGAACATTTCACTTATAATATGGATGCCCTTGTTGCTTCCTGTTGAAAAAACATCAAAACACCAATCACATATAGTTCTTATGATCTTGAAAAGTACATCTTGTTTTAATTAATTTCTGCTCAAGATAAATACTATTAGTAATTAACAAATTGTTAAAATATGTACCCCAGAAGCTGTGCTGTGCATACAATGTGAGTGTGCATGCATTTGTACATACAGGCAAACAAAAGGACTTTAAAAATTTGAGTTACAGAAGGTTTATTTAAAGTTAAACGTTGAACAAGGTTTGCACAGGTTAACAACAATGGATAATGTGGCACTTTTTTGTCAGAACTTTAACACTCAGGCCAGATATAGTCGCCGTAATAGAATATACGAATAATAGAATAGGTAAAAATAACAACTGCATTGGTCGAATAACTCTATTGCTGATATTGAAAAAACAAAAACTGAAAACAGAGTTCATTATTAATTAAATATAAATTACTTTATTAATTAAATTTTAATTTCATAAAACTGCAATGAACAATCATAAAAAAAAGGTTCATATTTTAAAATAGTTACTTTTTCCAACTCCATCTCTCTACTGTATGTGCTATCTGCTATGACATGTCCTTGTTTATAACTTATTTGCATTTGCACTGCCCGTTGTTGCTAATAATAATGTAGTCAGTTAGCAAGACAAAATTAATTTTTATCGAAACTTAGCTTCGCTTTCCTAACTCCCGTTCTTCCTTCTCGATAAAATTGTCATTCCCGAAAATTTGGTCGTTATAGTTATACTAATTATCATGAAAATTCAAAATTTTAGAATTAAGCAAAAGCCAAAATTTAAAAATTGTACGACTCTGTAGAATAAGTTACAAAAGTTAAATTCTTATTTTGGTATGGCGAACATGCGGGGAACGTCTGCTTCTCACTCAGCCGGTCAAAATGTCAAAAATGAAATTCGATAAAACATAAAATAAACAATAATAATTTTCAGTATATTAACAATCCGATGTAAAACAAATCGAAATAAAAAATTAGTTTAGTGCAAATAAATAAAATTAAATACAAAAACACTAACCCGGGAATTAAATTTAGTAAAAATCTGCAAGAAACTTTCGACGAAGAACAGAACAAGCCATGCATACTTTAAAATCTTCTTAAATGTATAGGCGGGCGACTCGCGTGGCTGGATTTACAACAGGTTACAAAAGATCCTATATAACTAAACAGGAAGTTAACTAACGCCGAACAAGCTGTGATTTTTATCAATAATTGGATATATATGGATATATATATATATATATATATATATATATATATATTATTTATTATTCAAGTATTGTTATCTTTGCTATATTTGTAACTGTAAATCTATGCTAAAAATTGCCTATAAATACGTCCTGCGTATTGAGGTACAGCAGTTGAGGTTACAAGCGAAGAGAAAGCGAAGTCGTAAATGAGTCATGAAGCAGTTGTGTTCATCTATCGGAAATCTTAAACCTACAAAAAACGAACACTTGACGATTGTTGGAAGCTACAACATTGATGTTGGAAATATAGAGGTTATGGAAGTTCTAACATTGGTGTTGGTAGTTATAAAGTCAAGGATTTAAAACCTAGGTGTCAAAAGTAAGATTTTTGATAGCTTGAAACTCACTACGGTAATTAATGCCAGCGCTAGATAAACTCAATATAACTAGTCCGAAGAAAGAATAACGACAAAGAAACCTCGAGTCAAAAGGAGCAAAGGCAGTTTTGGCGAATCTCCTTAGGAACGTTATAATAAAAGAAGAAATCGATCCTGATGAGTTCGAGTTTAATAAGCAATTCGATCAGCAGGTAACCGAATCAAAAGAAATGGCAGCCACGATAAAATTACTGAATGAAATGTCAGAGATATTAAAAGGACTAAATGACAATATAGAGCAAACTCTAAGGCGGAATTGAAAGAAGAGACAATCGAAACAGCTATACCAAAAACGGTTACACAAGAACCTGAAATTATTCTACCGCCGTATTCACCTAAGGGTGATTTCGACTGTGACGCACGTGATATCGGCGACGCACGTGAAAACTGTGATGCACGTGACAACTACGACGCACATGTTAACTGCGACGCACGTGTTAACTGCAACGCACGGAATAATAGTGATGCACGTGACAACTGCGTTGCACACGTTAATGAAGATGAAGATCTTGAAAATAGTCTAGAAGTTGACAGTGATGAAGACACTGAAACTTTTGATTTTCAGAGGGACTACTACTCGTATCAGTCTGCGAACAAACACGCATGTTTTCACTGATAACAACGACAGCATTAACCTAAAAATTAATAACAATGGTTTTAATGTTAATGCGAATATGCAATCAGGACAAGAATTGGGGACAGACGATGATTCAAGTTTTGAAATAACCCTTCCAGCACGCACGCGGAATGAAAGCTTAGTTCTCGTCTACCTGGATGATGACATTAACAACGGCTTCATTGTCGATGGGGATGAGATTTGCATCGCAGTATCACTGATCGACAGCAAAAATGTCAACTACGAATCTTACAGCATGCATCAATGATATCCGTCCGGTCATTCTACGCCTCGTAAACTCAATGGAAAGAAAGCACTTGTTTTAAGTGCCAACAAAATCAAGAAATAACCATGACGTCTATCTACGTTTAGAGAAACCAAGAAAACGGAAATACGGTATGACCCGAAAAAAAAGTAACGCAAGTCTCAAGAGCAAAGAACTGGTCTGGTTGCACAAATTACGGCGCCGAAAAAGGAGAAGCCAGGTGAAACTTTCTCGGAATGGGAAAGATCGTTATAAAAATACTCGGCAAAACTCTCAAGGAATTGGAAAGGTCGGTACAAAATCGCTAACAAGATAAATGACGTGATCTACAGGACCTATGATCCTGGAAGGAAATGGACAAAAATGACTGTTGTCCATTTGAATAGATTATCCATATTCATCAGAATAAAGAAATAACGCCTATGTTAGAGACTAACAGGTATTGTTAGTGCGCTATATTATTCATCATTCAAGTATTGTTATCTTTACCATATTTGTAATTGTAAATATTATCTATTTTTATATCTATTTTTATATCGTCAACGTATCGGCAGTATACATTAGGCTTTAACTCTGGCTCTTCTTTAAATAACATTTCTTTGATATGTCCAAGATAGAAATTTGCGAAGAATACTTCCAACGGCGCTCTAAAGGATCACATAAAAAAGAAACACAAAGCTAAAATTACTAAGCAAATCTTGGACAACAATGTTGAAATCTTACATTACAATAACAAACATTATAATATACGTCTAGCCGAATTAATACTCATAGAACGAAGACATCCGATCATAAACATTCAACAACGTACAATTGGAATCCTTCCGGCTAATAAATTTAGGAACAGAGATATCGCAAAAAGTTGAAGATTGTAAAACCACCTAAATGATAGTTAAGTATTTGCTTTGAACGAACAAGGAATCAACAAAGTAGAGACACAGTATATATATATATATATATATATATATATATATATATATATATATATAATTATTATTAAATGAAAATTTATAAATCGTTTTTATAAAATCTCAAAAGCGCCTACAATAAGTGCAAGAAAAAATATATAAGACAAAAGAAGGAAAGTTGATTTTCACTCAGTTAAATGTCAGAACACACATATATTTAACACAAAATCAATAAATAAATAGACGACCAAAAAGAAGTAAAACTAATTCAAATGACGATTTTTAGGATTTATCCACACAAGTTACTAGTTATGTACAAAAATTCAACGCCGTAATCAACAAGCCTCACAACGAATTTTTAACGGACACAAGAATTAAAACAACATAATGATAGTACTGATTAATAAAGAACATAAAAAATTAAAAAAAAAAAACAAAAAAAAAAATTTCATTTTCATAATCACATTTAATTACAAGAACCGAAATGCTGCTTAAAAAGCAGCAACTTTAATTGTTTACAAAATAGAGGAAATGATATTCCAGGTAGACGGAGTGAGGTTGGCAAATTATTCCACACCATCGGTCCAGCAACAGCAAAATTTCTTTTACCAGTCACCAAACGGGTTTGAGGAACGTCCAGCAAATTCCTATTATTGGATCTCAATCCTGGATAACCAGACGTTGAATCACGTTTAGTCAATCTACCGACCAAGTACGGAGGAGCACGCCCATTTAAAACTTTGAACATCAAAACAGCAATCTTGTAGATAATTCTTTTTTCAATCGGAAGCCAGTGCAGATCCCGTAAAATCGGCGTCACATGATCAGATCTAAAACCTCCGACAACTAGGTTGGCCATGCGATTTTGAATTGACTGTAGTTTGGAAATTTCCAACATGGAGACACCGTAAAAAAGGCTGTTGCAATAGTCCAGCCTCGAGTGAATAAACGCGTGAGCCAAACTCTTTAGGGTAATCTCATTAAGTGAATTTTTTACAGCCCTCATCATGCGAAGTTGTCGATGACATTCACCAGTTAGCAACTTTATGTGGCACTCCATTGTCATATTACCATTGAATACAACACCAAGATTACGAGCATCTTGACATAATGCGCATTGCATTTTCCGGCAAGATGGCGGCACGTGTTGTTGTGATTAACGAGTTGCTCTATTATCGAATTAATTGATAATGAAACTTTTATAAACAACATATCTGACTTTTACACAAACGAGGATATCATTACTGCTATTAAATTGTTGAAAGGTGATATTGAAAATTTAAAATTGGACAACAACGACAAATTACAAATGCGCGGGAACAAAAAAAAGGACAAATTACTTGAATGTCTCTCTGTTTTTAAATATCTGAAAACTAACAATATGTTAGACAAATGTTCAATATTTGTCAGCTATAATATGGTAAAAATTCCAAAGTTAGAAAGTATAGCTAACTTGAATTTTGTTAATTTAAAAAACGAAATTAGAGACATTGTTCACTCTCAACAGGTGCGCTTAAACAATATAATTGAAGCTAATAAACACGATATTCAAGTCTTAAAAAACAAAACAAGTTTGTTGTCAAATATTAATGTTGAAAACAACTGTAAAACTGCCAACTCGGAAAATATTAAACCTACTGTTATACTGTTATACAGAATATTCCACTTGTCAACTCTACCGTCCAGCTTGGAAAACCCCTGTGGTCCGATATTTCAAGAACCCCGACCGAAGACTCGTCGTTCACTCTTGTCACCAGAAAAAATAAATGCCCGCGCGCATTAAACAGCGACACTGACAACAACAACATTAAAGCAGATACAAATTCAAACAAACGTTAGCTCCAAAAATTATTGGTAAAAAAGAAGTTGACTGCAAACTAAAAGCCGATAAAGTTCTGTACAACAAACGTGTCTACTCAATGAGTAACATTCAGAAATGTTCAGCCAGCGATGTCAGCGAATTTTTATCATCATGCGGGATTAACGTGTTATCATGTTAACCGGTATTTAAAAATACCGAGCCATCAAAAGTTCCCCACACCAATCGTGACAACCAAGATTCATCAATGTTTCGTGTCTGCATTGACAAAATAGATTCTCCTAAAATCAACGATCCAAACATCATACCCAAAAATATAATTGTACGAGAATGGCGTTGCATAATGAAAAAAAAGGCCAAGCAACAAATAACCAATCATGAATAGAAACACAAAAAATCTCCATGTACTAACCTGCCTGATTCCAGCGATACATTTTCTGATTTAGTTTCTGTCAACCCATCCAATAACAGTATTAATTTTTCAGACATTTTTATCAACAACTTTCAAAATTACACCATAAACAATTTAAACAACTTCATACTTAACAATTTTTTTAAAACTGATAATAATTTATCTATTATTCATGCCAATAGTCATAGTTTGTTCAATAAAATGGCAGATTTGTTAATACTAAACGATTCCCTTTCAAATTTTTTCCACTTATCATAATTTCTGAAACCTGGTTAAATGATGACACTGCTAAATATATTAATATGCCTAATTATGACTTTGTTTTTAAAAACAGATCTAACAAAAAAGGTGGTGGTGTCGGGATTTTCATCAAACAGGGAATCAGCTATTCAGTTAACTGCGAAGCCGTACTGGATGATGAAGTTATTGACTTTCTTTCTGTCGACATCGCAGTTAATATGCATTAACTTCAGATAATTGCAATCTACAGACCGCCTAATTCCAACCCTGATCTACTACTAAGCAAACTTGAAATTATCTTACCTACACTAAAACCTCCCAATAAATCTTATTTAATCGGTGACTTCAATCTTGATCTTAATAAATTTTTTTTGATCCTCATGTATCAGCTTTTTCCAACCTTCTATCACCGTACAACTTTTTTCCACTTGTAACCTCTGACACACGCATTACGTCTTCCTCTTCCTCGTTAATTGACAATATCTACACAAATAATATGACTACTCATTTTTCTGGAACAGTCTTATCTGACTTCTCAGACCATTTTCCTATTTTCACCATTGCATCTAACCTCAATAAACTTAATTATTCTGCACGACAAAAATACTCCAGACTTCTGACTCCAAAATCTTTATATGACATCAACCATTCGTTATCTGCTCAAGACTGGACGTCAGTGATCACGGTAGACAATGTTAATGATTCCTTATCACAGCTATATGCCATACTCAATAAAGCGATAAATACATTTGCTCCATTTTTACCTGTTAAACCAAAAAACAAAAGCTGGGTCAACACACATAAAAAAAACTATCCAATAAAAAAAACAAGCTCTTTATTAAAAGGCTCCGTAATCCTGCTCCAAACAATATTTCTGAGTATAAAAAATTCCGCAACATGTTTACAACCATTAAAAGAAAAACAGAACGAGAATATTACACAAATAAACTCAGTAATTCTCCCAACGACATCAAAGCCAAATGGAATTTGATAAGATGTGCACAAAAAACCGCCCAACTCATCCATATCCAAACTCACTGTAAGCAGCAAAACAGTTGACAACAAACAGGAGATGTGCAACCGTCTGAACGAACACTTTGCAAACGTTTCAAGCAAACATTCTTTCAAACTCCTACCGGGTAAGGCTGACCTCATGAAACTCTTGGGTCCTGCTATAACTCAATCCATATCTCTTAACCCTGTATCTGAACGCGAATTACTATCTATTGTCCGTAAAAAGAAAAACAAAAACAGTTACTCCGATGATGGCCTTAACATGTACCTAATAAAAAACATAATCCATTCCACAACTTTACCTTTAATCCACATCTTCAATTTATCATTATCAACGGGAATTTTTTCAGATATCTTCAAAATATCCAGAATTATTCCTCTCCATAAAAAAGGATTCCTGGATGATATAAATAACTACAGACCCATATCTCTGTTGTCTCCTTTATCCAAGATTCTGGAAAATATAATGTACATCAGATTAAATTCTTTCTTCAATCTCAATAACATTATATGTAACAGCCAATACGGCTTCCGGGCCAAGCATTCAACGGAGCTTGCTATCCTAGACTTTACTCAACATGTCCTAAACGGTATGAATAGCAAAAAACAATCTGTCGGCCTATTTCTGGATCTTTCAAAAGCATTTGATGTAATTGACCACAGCATACTCCTAAAAAAACTTGAGTGGTATGGTGTGAGGGGAATCGCTTTCAATTGGTTGGTGAGCTATCTCTCCTTGCGTTCTCAATATGTTTATATCGATAACTTCAAATCAAATAAAACTCATGTCCAGAATGGAATTCCTCAAGGATCCATACTGGGTCCTTTTCTATTTCTAGTCTACATCAATGACCTTTGTAACGTCTCTTCATTAGCCAAATGTGTACAATTTGCCGACGACACGAACATTTTGTTTACACAAGACGACTTCAACAACTGCCGAGACATCATCAATCAAGAACTATCAGGATTTTCCAACTGGTTTCTGGCAAATAAACTACTACTAAATCATTCCAAATGTTCTTATATAATTTTCGGTCCCAAAATATTAACTAACCAAGTCCAAGATCTATAGCCAGTTGTTTCGGGCAGGTGAAGCTCGTTAGCCTTGGTCGGCTATTTACCTAAGAGAAGGAAAACTCTGACTTCAAACCTCCACTGCCTTGCGGCATACCTGTTCATGGGAAAGACTATGGGAGCAAATCCAGACAGAAAACCACACTCCACCACCTGAATTGCGGTCCAGTAATATCAGGTGCTGGTCCAAAGTCCGGATAGAAAGAAATGGTTGACAGGAGCTTGCTACACTGTCGTAAAAATGCTAATAACACGATGGTAGTCCAAAAAAAGTATGCACATACCGGCTCGAACGTCGCCCGGGTGAACAAGGTCCGCGCTGCAGCTTTGGGGAGTAGAGGCTGCAGTGTAAAGTATGCTACTGAGTCCCAGAAAGATAGACTGAAGATGGGGTTGACAGTTGGAGTTTGGAATGTCAGGTCATTGTGTTACCTGTTCATGGGAAAGACTATGGGAGCAAATCTAGACAGAAAACCACACTCCACCACCTGAATTGCGGTCCAGTAATATCAGGTGCCGGTCCAAAGTCCGGATAGAAAGGAATGGTTGACAGGAGCTTGCTAGGAGTTGACTGTTGTAAAAACGCTAATAACACGATGGTAGTCCAAAAAAAGTATGCACATACCGGCTCGGACGTCGCCCGGTCGAACAAGGTCCGCGCTGCAGCTTTGGGGACTAGAGGCTGCAGTGTAAAGTATGCTACTGAGTCCCAGAAAGATAGACTGAAGATGGGGTTGACAGTTGGAGTTTGGAATGTCAGGTCATTGTGGCAGACAGGGGCTTACGCGTTGATGAAGAAAGAACTTGAACGATTCAGATATGATGTGGTTGGTTTGTGCGAGGTCCGATGGACAGGAGATGGAGAAATGGAAGGTGGGAAGATATTATGGTCTGGAACAGAGAGGGAGCACGTCTATGGAGTTGGAATGGTTATTGGCAAAAAAGCAAAAAAAGCACTGTTGGAGTACAATCCAGTGAATGAAAGAATGATGTATGCGAGGTTTAAGGGATACCCGAGAGACATTGGTGTGGTAGTGGCCTATGCTCCAAAAATGAATCACTCGTGGGAAAATGCGGTATAGGAAACAGAAATAATAGAGGAGAAAGACTGCTGGAATTTGCAAAGGACCAAAAAATGTATATAACAAATACAAAAACACAAAATACAAAAAAAATGGACATGGGAATCACCAGATGGAAAAACAACGAACATGATAGATTTGATTTTGATAGAACAGAAATGGATGAAATTTGTAACTCAGTGTCGTTCTTTTCAGAAAGGACAGAAGTACAGTCCAGCAAATCCTGATGTTGAGACTATTGTTGGAAGATGCAGGAAGCAGAGGTCAAACAACTTTTCATTGTTTTGTGGATTTTAAGAAGGCGTTTGATTCAGTCTGGCACGAAGGTTTGTGGGCAACTTTGGAAAGAACCCGTATTAAATCACTTTCATCAAGTATTAAACTTACTGGACCAAAAATTTGGGCTGAACTGCTTCCTCCTCAGTTACATGAAATCAAAAACCTACAACTCTTTAAGAGGAAGCTACGTAACTTTTTAACAAACTTAGATCCCGACACCACCGTCTAGTTATCTGGGAAAGCATGTTCATGTAAGCATTATGTGTGTCTAAGTGTGTGTGAATGTGGTTGCTTGTGTGAGTGTGTGTGAATGAGTGCTGTGCTTGTGTGAGTGTGTGTGAATTGAACAGGTGTGTGTTTACGTGTTTTTGTGCGCGTGAGTGAGTGTATGTGCTTCTGGCGTGGTATTTCCATAAGATAAGATTCAAAATTTAGAAGTTAGTCAAAGTGTTGTTATATTTTAAACTTCAAAACAATTTTGAAGTATTAGAATTACTGTTTGAAATATCTATAACCTACATTATATTGTGTTTGGGTATAATGAATTTTTTTTATAATTATGTTTTATATTTTGGAACAGTTTTGAAATATTAGAATTACTCTTTATAATGTGTTTGAGTACCTTGAATTCTTTTATTTGTTTAAATCTGCTCATATATCATTATTACAAATTGACACCGGTGATCAGTACAAAAAGTCCAGATTTCTTTTTCGATTTCCAGATCATTTCCTTTCATTGATTTCATTTTTCTGATTTCACCGTTTGATTTGATGAATAAAATGTCAAATGTAAAAAAAATGTATAATTCAATCTGAATTGAAATGAAATTATAACCTGGTGGCATTGCCCGCCTAACAGCAATTTCATTACTGGACCCATGCCATGTTGCAGTCAAAACTAAGATATCCAAACCATCGCAAATTACCTCATACACTTTATCATATTTCGACAAAATTGACCTAATATTCAAAAGCCCTAGTCCTATTTTAACATTGTTAAGCATTTTACAACCATTTTTTTTCTTATGACTTTTACCTTTACCTTTTATGACTTTTTGAAACTCACGATCCGCCACTTTCCCCCAGGTCCTCTGACCCTGTATAAAAAACCTCCCGTACATGCAGCTTCTCTTGACTTTGCATTAGCAATCAAACTTTTCAATTCACTCCTCTGTTCAGCAGTCAGATCATTGGCAATCCATATCTTACTAAGTTCTTCAGACATTTGCTTAAGTTTGTATGAACTCTTCATCACCAACTCTTTAGCTGAAATGTTATCCATCACTATCAAAATTGGCCTATTTGTTGATTCAACCCTTTTACCCAGTTTTATTATTCTCTTCATATCAGAATCTTTGATATCACTCGACAGTTTCTTGATTATTTCCTTGACTCGATCTCTGTCATTATCTCCTTCAGTTACATTAAACATCATAATGTTTTTTTCTCCCTCTTTTATTTCCTGTGCCTCATCTAATGTTTTTTGTACTGTTTTCACTTCAACATTAATGCTTTGCATACCTTTTTTAACCTCCTGGCCAACAACACTTGCCCATGTTTTTTGCAATTCACTTTTAAAATGTTAACTTTAAACTTTTCAACACTTAACTTGGAACCTGGTTCATCAAGCTTTTCTAATTTTGAATCATTATCTTTAATCATATTTTTGATTATGTCCAGTTCATGTTTTAACGAAATATTCGCAGCATTAATTTGATCCACTTTCAACTTGATTTCATTGTTATTATCATTTACTGTCTTTGTCAATAATCTAATGTTGGATACCGTCTTCAAACAAATATCACAGTACCATTTGAAATTCAACAAAGTACGTGTTACCTCAACAACGTCATCATTTACTCCAACACATTTTGCATGAAAAATATTTTCACATTGAAAACATTGCACACATTGCACACCGTCTTTAGTAACTTTTACGCACTTTGTACATTTACTCGCCATTGTAAAATTCCAGATAACAAATAGCTATACAAAACAACCTTTGGAATCGTACGAACTCGCAACAGAAAAAAAATAACAAACGTATATATTGCCAATACAGTTTAAACCATTTAATTAATTTTCGAAATATTTAATTAATTTTAATATTAATCCTAAAAATAAAAATATATTAATACTTCCCCTGATTTTAACTATAAATTAATACCAAAATTAACAATATAACATATTAACATATATATATATATATATATATATATATATATATATATATATATATATATATATATATATATATATATATATATATATATCCACCGATTTCCACCATATTGCCTATAATCTAGTAAATTGAGTTCCATTTTATAAAAACAATTTACTAGATTATAGGCAACAATATGGTTTTGTGAAAGGGAAATCAACAATTCTCCAGTTGTTGAAATTGATGGATTGTTGGACTAGTGCAGTTGATAATTGTTTGGATGTTGATGTTATTTACACAAACTTTACTAAAGCTTTTGATAGAGTGCCACATGTGTTATTGATTAATAAATTGCGTGGTTATGGTGTGAATGATTGTTTGGTTGAATGGATTAAGGAGTATTTGTGTAGTAGAACTTCTAGTGTGAGAGTGAATAATTGTTTGTCTAAAAGGTTTGAAGTTAGCAGTGGAGTGCCTCAAGGAATTGTTTTAGATCCGGTTTTGTTTATTGTGTATGTGAATGACATGTTTGATATTGTGAAAGATAGTTCTGTTCAAATGTATTTCTATGCGGAGGATGTTAAAATGTTTAATTTTATGAGATATGTGGATGATAGATTACTAGTGCTACAAAAACATCTTGATAAATTGTATGATTGGTGTATGTTATGGAAAATCGATTTGAATATTGAAAAGTGTACAGCTATAAAATTTGGTCATTCGTGTTTGGATAATAATTGGTGTTATAATATTAATAATTCTAACTTGGGTTTTTGTGGTGAAGTAAATGATTTGGGGTTTTTATTTGAACGTTCACTGAGCTTCTCTAGGTATATACATAATGTCATTAATAAATGTTTTGTTCTTTTAGGATTGTGATACAGAAACTTTAAAAATTTAACTAAAGAGTCATTTATTTTGATTTATAAATTTTGATGTGATTCTTGAAAAATAAAAGAAATTGACGATTTGGAAAGGGCTCAGAAACGGGCAACCAAGATTGTCAAGGAGTGCAAAGGCCTTTGTTACTCGGATCGATTGAAATTTCTTGGCTTGCCAACTTTAAGATTTAGAAGAGTTCATGGAAAAAAAGTCTCTCAAAAACGCTATCAGTAGTTAGCTAACAAAATTAAAAATGACTGAAAAGCAACAATAATAAAAATTATTGAAAAAACAAATGTTTTCAAATTCTTTCTAAAAGTTCCTAAAATTACAAAATAAACAAATATTTTTTTAAATTCTTCATGAAAGTTCTCCTGTCCAATCACGGCATTCTTAAAACTAATAGGTAGAGTATTCCAAACCTTTGAACCAGAAACAGCAATATTTTTCGCACCTGTAGATAATAAAGCAATGTTAACAGTCATTAGATTTAAATGATCACTTCTCAAGTTGATACCGCCAGTAACTGATCACTGCTTTAAACATCATTAAGCATACTTTAAAGATCAACCTTTTTTCAACATTTAATCAATGAAGGTCCTTTAACATCTGTGTTACATGATCAAACTTCAAACCTCTCACAACAACCTTAGCAGCCCTATTTTGAATGGATTGGAGAATCGATGTTGACTTATGACGTAGACCGTATTACAATAATCCAAACTTGTGTGAATGAATGCATGTACCAATGTACGTGTAGAGGCCTCATCCAAATACTTGCGAATCCGATACAATTTCTGAAGTTGATACGTACATGATGATGAAATCATACCCGACATCATCGACAATCTTGAGTTAAAAATAACACCTAGATTAATGGCCTGTTCACAAAACTTAACATCTTGACCACCAATATGTAACGAATTTATGCCAATTCTTCTAAGCTGCTGCCATGTTCCAACCGGTAGGAACTTTGTTTTATTTTGATTCCATTTTATTAGGTTGGTGCAAATATAATGTCGGTTTTATGTTAATAAATTTTTCATCACTAAATTTTTAAATACAGTTTATTGAATATATTGATCATTATATATCATTTTGAAGGTTATTTATTCTTCTATCTAGCTTTTATTAATTAATTGGTCCAACTATTCAGTGTCTTTGATTTTGAGCGATATTTGAGAATGTTGTCTAAGCGTGATTTTCGGATTATTTTGCTTCATGAGTTTAAACTCGGGCATAATGCGGCAGAGGCAACTCGTAATATTGTGGAAGCATGGGGCAACGTCGGTGCTTTTGAGATGGTTTAAAAAATTTCTTACTGGTGACATGAGCCTCCAAGATGAAGAGGGTCGCGGGCGAACATCCGGGATTGATGATGACAAACTGAAGGAAATTATTGACGCAAACACAGCTAAAACTACTTGAGAAATTGCCAATGAACTCAAGGTTGATCACACAACAGTAGTTCGTCATTTGAAACAGATTGGTAAAGTTAAAAAACTTGACAAGTGGGTTCCACATGAGTTGAACGAAAATCAGAAAATTCGGCGTTTTGAGGTGTCGGCTTCACTTGTTCTGCGTAATAAAAACGATCCGTTTCTTGACCGGATTGTGACGTGTGATGAAAAATGGATCTTATATGATAACAGACGACGTTCAGCTCAGTGGTTGGACTATGATGAAAGTCCAAAACACTTTCCCAAGCCAAAATTGTACCAAAGAAAGTTAATGGTGACAGTTTGGTGGTCTGCAGCTGGATTGATTCACCATAGCTTTTTAAAACCTGGTCAAACGATTAATGGAGAAATGCACTGCCAACAAATTGATGAGATGCACTAGAAATTACGCCAACTACGTCCTGCATTGGTTAACAGAAAGGGTCAGATCCTTCTCCACGATAACGCCAGGCCACACGTCGCACAACTAACGCTAAAAAAACTGAACGCGTTGGGTTGCGAGATTCTCCCTCACCCACCATACTCACCAGACCTCTCACCAACAGATTTCCACTTTTTCAAACACCTCAAGAACTTTTTGCGTGAAAAGTGCTTCAAAACCGAAGAAGCTACAAAAAATGCCTTCTTACAGTTTGTCGCCTCTAGAACCCCTGATTTTTATGCTACAGGCATCAATAATTTAATTCCTTGTTGCAAATGTGCATAGATTGTGATGGTTCTTATTTTGATTAAATATCTCAAATGAAAGCAAATTTATTGCATTTTAAAATGGATGGTAGAAAACCGACATTATTTTTGCACCAACCTGATAATTTGTTTCTTGACATCCAGTTGTCAACTTCAGACAAACATGCAATCAATCTAGGAGCTTCATTTTCCAAAAATTCAGGTTTACATTTGAGTATAACTTGGATATCATCCGCAGAAGCATGACTTTTGAGGCCAAATGACTCAATGATTAGCAAAACCTCAGATGTGTATAATAAAAACAATATGGGCCCCAAAACTGATCCTTGCGGGACACCTGTATTAATATCTGACATTTTATTATTAAAAAAATTATTATATAATATAATATAATTATTATTGAATTGCTACGATAAACCAAATATTATAATGAAAACAAAAATGATTTCAATAATTTCTTGAACAATTTTTCTGTCAGTTCGGGCTGTCTTAGATAACTTGGTAGACTATTCCAAACGGCTGGTCCACATACTGAGAAACTTCTCAGCCATTTTCAAGTTGGTTTGGGTCACACATAACAAGTTGCTATCATCAGACCTAAAGCAGACAGTTTTAAAAGACAGTTGTTTCGGTGCGTGCATTTCTTTCAAATAAACTGGCGCTATTCCCTTCATACATTTGAACATGATTGTCGATATTTTGAACAATATTCTTTTTTTGACCATCAACCAGTGCAGTTCTCTGAATATCGGGGTAACATGGTTAAATTTTTTTGCACCAACCACGATCTTAGCTGCCCGATTCTGAATTGACTGAAGCACAGATAACGATTTTTCAGACAAACCATAAAATAGGCTGTTACAGTAATCCAGTCTAGAATGAATAAACGAATGTAATAAACTTTGAATAACATATTTGGTTAAGCTTTTGCGGATTATTTTTAATTTTCGCAGTTGTAAGGTTGCAATACCAGATAAAAACTTGATATGATCAGTCATTGCCAGTTTAGAATCAAAAATGACACCCAAGTTTGTAGCTTTGGGAATAAAGTTTATATTTGAGCCCTCAATGATAACTGAATTAATTTTAATTCTAGACAGCTGTTGCCAAGTTCCAACCAGAAGAATTTGCGTCTTACTTTGATTGAGCTTAAGACGATTATTTGCCATTCATTTCTCGATCTCGACCAAACATTTAACAAAACGATCAACTGCAAGATGAAAGTTGCTATAGGATTCTGTGACGAAAAGCTGAATATCATCTGCAAATGCATGACACTCCAAACCATGTAATCCGATCGCCTCAATAATTTCAGAGGTGTAAAGAATAAACAAGATCGGTGTGTATGTGTATTTATATGTGTGTGTGCGTGTGGTGTGTGTTAAGTGTTTATCTTTAGTGTTTATATTGTTAGTCAATTTGTCTTTTTAAGAAAAATTTGTTTATATTTTGCTAATATGATTGCGGATACTATACATGATATACTATAACAATTCCAAAAATGTCAAAGTACTTTATTCATCAAAATTTAATTATACTGTTTTTTATTTTTCGTGGTTTATATGGCACGTATTATACAGACAGGACTCGTTATAAAAGTCTACTCAGCGGCATGGAGTGTGTTTGCGGTTCATTGGACGCATGCACATGAAGACTCATTTTAATTTAATTTTATTTTAATAATCACGAATTATATACGTATGATAGATTTTTAGCTTGGTCAAAACATTTTCAATTAAACCATGTGCAAAGTGTCCGGTTAAAAAACCACCGGTAAAAGACCGCCGGACAAAAGACCGCCAGCGTAAGGTCTCCAAACAATACGATTGCTTAACACAAAGGTCGCTAAAAAATAAGGTCGCGTGATACAGAAGTCGCAAAGCAATAAGACCGCATACATAATAACCGATAATATAATAATAATAATAATAATCGACTCATAAAAATTCTTCCAATTTTATTACTGACCTACGACTTTATTACTCGCTCTGAACAACCAATCCATGCACTACTGTTTAGAGTATTGCAAATTTCTTCGATGCAGTTGCTAAGAATCCACCTTGCACGAACAACGCAGTGGGGGGTTGGCATCGTCAACTCATTGTAGCTGGAGCACGTCATTCAATTATATGTAAATTAATTGATAGCTTGAGAACTGTGCAGAAGTACAATCAAGTAGCTATCGAACACCTTATTCAAGGTCGACAACCGCCCCGCCCTGTAAAAAAATTTACAGAAATGTTTTGGTCAGAATAGCGGCAGCTGTTGGCAACTATGCCATGATTAATTATATCGATTATTTACGTGGTATTGCACATAGTTTGAATTTCAATGTTTAGAATTTATGAAACCCTTCATTTGTTCATGTAAAAATTTTCATTTAAGTTTTGTACAGACCAGCGATCATTTATTTTTGTTGTCGACGTCATAATCTTGAAAATTAAAACATTATTCCTTAGACCATCATTTGGTTGAATGTGTTTTCGAATTCAGTGCAGTTTGTACATAGACTTTCAAACTTAGAGTAATAGCAATATTTTTGACCTTTCTACCTTAAAACGACCTTATTGTCGAGGGATCTTAATGCTTGGCGACCGTGATAATGGGCGACCTAACGTCCGACGGTCTTTTGCTGGCGACCTTTTCACATAGAAGCGTGCGTAACAGTTGGCTTGGTCCTAAATATTAATAAAAAGTTTTCCATGCCGTGTTATCTACAAAGGAACTTTAACAGAGCTTCATGTTCATAACAGTTACTTCGCATAACAATCATACAAAACTGTATTTGAGTTTATTGTGCTGATTATAAGCAGTTATTTGTTATTTTGATTTTCAGAAACTTATATTTTATACATATTTTTTTGCTACAGAAAATCCTAATTTAGTTATCTGCCTTTTCAGATGAAAAAATAGAAGGATGCATACGTTGGATGCATGCATAAATAATAGTGATTATAAAATAGCACTTGGCAATAAATTATGGTTGGAAGTTGCTGCCAACGTTAATGTACTGTACACACATACTTTTAATCAGAAATAATATTTTATGATTCTGCACTTAAATTAAAATTAAACGATGGTTATCTAAATTTAATGACCAAAAACTTTACATTGCAAAAGTTGATCAAAATAAATTTGAACATAAATCAATAATTAAAAATAATTGGTTTAAATAAAAAACCGAAAAAATGAATAAAAGGTTCAAAATTAATGAACGTTTCACTTTAACTTCACTTATAATCGATCCGGATATAAAATTTCAGTTCGCGCACAGCTGCGTTTAAAATCGAATAATAATTATCATTTTTCAAGGCTCTTTCAGAATACATTTGTCTAAACACTAGACATCTTTTTACATACAAGATTTTCCGTCATTTTCTGAATGAAATTTCATGACTATATTTTATCATTTTATTAAATGTAGTGGATGAAAATGTTAAAAATGAACATATATGGATATTCTAAAATGAAATAAAATTTCATTAAGTCCACTTTTCTTATTTGTTGCTGTTTTCAGTGTGAGAATGTTAAACTGTATTTGTTATTTAAGTTTTCAAAAATAATTTCTACAGAATTTTAATTACATTTTAAGTCATGTTCCGTCGCGGTAACATGCTGCTGATGTGGGTATTGGAGTGTTTCTTTTTGCACCTCAAAGCTGTTCATCCACACCACGCCACTTACAAACGCATTTCTAGGAAGAATCATATATTGCATAACACACACTAGTTGGATGGGGATCTAGATAAGTAATAGATTTTGTGTTTTAATTATGCGCTCCTACAGAAATGACCTAAGAGTCCTATCGTTTCGAACATTAATTAAATGCAGACAGCTACGTTTTTCTGAACGTTTGATTTATATAAAATTAATGTCATATTTAATGATTACTATTTTTTTTGAATTTCGTTATTGACTAATTGGAATAAAATTTTACATGTTCAAGCAATCAGAAGATTAAAGGAAAATGTGCACGTATGATAATTGTATGAAATGAAACAAACCTTCGTGCCAGACTGAATCAAACACCTTCTTAAAATCCACAAAACAATGAAAAGTTGTTTGACCTCTGCTTCCCGCATCTTCCAACAATAGTCTCAACATCAGGATTTGCTGGACTGTACTTCTGTCCTTTCTGAAACCTGCCTGCTCCTCTCCTAAATGCTGCTCTATGTCTTTCTCCAATCGTTCTTTCAAGATCGTCAGCATGATCTTGCACATATGAGGGATCAGTGCTATTGATCTGTAGTTGCAGTCTTTCAGGTTTTTTGGCAACATGATCAAGATTGATTTACACCAATCTTCTGGCCATTTTCCACTGTCCCAGATTTCTTGTCATATTTTGTGAATCTCATTACATACAATTGGTCCTCCCGCTTTGATCAGCTCTATGGTAATTCCGTCTCTCCCTGTGCTCTTGTTGTTCCTCATTTTCTTCATTGCTTTTATTACTTCCTCCAATGTTATTTCCGTTTCTTCTTCATTGACTACTTTTCTTTCTTTTAAAGCCTGTAACACCTCCTTTGTATACGTGTTTTTATCTGTGAACAGGTCCTTGATATATTCCGACCATCTATCTTTGATTTGTTGGCCTTCAGTTAGAACATTTCCATCCTTGTCTTTAATAATCCTTGACGTATTCTTCAGTTTTCCTTTTAACTGTCTTACTAGCTGATACGCCTCTCTTGTTTTGTTTTGTCCAACAAGTGCTTCTACCCTTTCGCATCTATCGTTTATCCATCTTTTTATATCTGCTCTGGCACTTTTCTTTATTTTGCAACACAGTTGTTTATATTTCATCTCATTTTTGTTGTTTTGTCTTTTGTTGCTTTCAGCTGTCTTCTTTCCTCTACGAGTTTCCAAGTTTCATCACTTATCCAGGGTTTTATTATGTTTTTCCCTACTTCGCATTTTTCGGCTGCAGTCTTAAGCACTTTCTCCAAGTTACTGACTCTTGTTTTCATATCGTACTTTGTTTTTGTATCCAATTTGTTTTCTATTACATTTCTGATGTCTTTCAACTTCTCTTTTATCATTTCTGTGCTATAATATTTCACTCTTTTGATATTTTCGCCTGACTTTAGTCTCTTCGTTATTTTCATCTTGACGTTACATAACACTAGACGATGATCTGATCCAATCTCTGTACCTGGAAAAGAACGACACTGAGTTAAATTTCATCCATTTCTGTTCTATCAAAATCAAATCTATCATGTTCGTTGTTTTTCCATCTGGTGATTCCCATGTCCATTTTTTTTGTATTTTGTGTTTTTGTATTTGTTATATACATTTTTTGGTCCTTTGCAAATTCCAGCAGTCTTTCTCCTCTATTATTTCTGTTTCCTATACCGCATTTTCCCACGAGTGATTCATTTTTGGAGCATAGGCCACTACCACACCAATGTCTCTCGGGTATCCCTTAAACCTCGCATACATCATTCTTTCATTCACTGGATTGTACTCCAACAGTGCTTTTTTTGCTTTTTTGCCAATAACCATTCCAACTCCATAGACGTGCTCCCTCTCTGTTCCAGACCATAATATCTTCCCACCTTCCATTTCTCCATCTCCTGTCCATCGGACCTCGCACAAACCAACCACATCATATCTGAATCGTTCAAGTTCTTTCTTCATCAACGCGTAAGCCCCTGTCTGCCACAATGACCTGACATTCCAAACTCCAACTGTCAACCCCATCTTCAGTCTATCTTTCTGGGACTCAGTAGCATACTTTACACTGCAGCCTCTAGTCCCCAAAGCTGCAGCGCGGACCTTGTTCGACCGGGCGACGTCCGAGCCGGTATGTGCATACTTTTTTTGGACTACCATCGTGTTATTAGCGTTTTTACAACAGTCAACTCCTAGCAAGCTCCTGTCAACCATTCCTTTCTATCCGGACTTTGGACCGGCACCTGATATTACTGGACCGCAATTCAGGTGGTGGAGTGTGGTTTTCTGTCTAGATTTGCTCCCATAGTCTTTCCCATGAACAGGTATGCCGCAAGGCAGCGGAGGTTTGAAGTCAGAGTTTTCCTTCTTCTAAGTGAATAGCCGACCAAGGCTAACGAGCTTCACCTGCCCGAAGCAACTGGTTATGGCGCCAGTTATTCGCCTTCGCCCCTTCTCCTGTTAGTTTAAACAGTTCTGTCGCGTGAAGGCCAGGAGTTGGGCTTGGTTGTCAGAGGCTCTTTGAGACGCTTGCCATATGGGAGCATTTTATAGATGATGGGAGCTTATCCCCATCACCACCCCCGGCATTAACAACCATTCAGAACCTTGTGTCTGCTATCTTATTATATCTCATTATATGACAAGATAGAAACAAGAAGACCAATGTTTTTTAAAATAGTCGACTGACTAATGTAAATAGACCAAATGAACACAAAGATCTCTGTTTGTTTTGTAGTATCTTTTTTCAAACAATATTAACGACAATATTAATATTTCCTGAGTCATCTATCATCACTAAATGATTTTTCTTGTTTCTCTTGTTCCAGGATTATCCATATTGAAAGTTTCTTTTTTTGATAACTAAAAATAGCTTTTAAATGTGTCGTGCGGTTGTACGGAGACTTTCCTTTCAAACTTTTCCTTAAAATTTATTTTGGTCAATTTTAAACTTAACGTACAGAGATCATACACAAAAAATTGTGGTGAACATTCGTGGCTCACTCTTCATCATAGCAAAACTGGATTTGATTAGAATAAGGCCAACAGCCATGTTCAAACGAAAGTCAATTATTTTTGAAACATGTCATATAACTTAATGACATACAATATGATTGCAATGCTGATGATGATGACCAGAGTTGCGCAAAAAATGTGAAGTGTCTTGCAGTTAAAATTATCAAGTTGAAATAATTTGAAAGTGTCGTCAGAATTATTGAGTTGGGATTCGATAGTAGTGATAGAATGGCCACTTCACATTCATGAACTCATTCTCTACTTACAAGAATTACACTCAACTCTAATTATGTACAATGTGCCTGCATATCATATGTGTGTGTGAGTGTGTTTATGTATTGTTATTATTATTATCAAAAATGTATAAATGTAAAAATGTATAAAGTACTAGTTATTAAATGTATGTATGTATTTATTTTTATAAAAATGGTTTGAGATTTTATATATATATATATATGTGTGTGTGTGTGTGTGTTTGTGCGTGTGTAAGTTCATTGTCATTACGTATCAAAGATTAACGCCATTATATTAACGCTATTGAGAAGAACGGGTGATTCTATTCAGCGAACTCTGGGCTGCTTAATTATTTGTTTCGAAGAATATGCTATCTATCTATCTATCTATTAACGATAAATCTAAATCGTTGTCACATACAATCGAGAACAATATGATGATAATAATGATGGTGGTGGTGATGATAATGGTGGTGGTGGTGGCCATGGTAATGATGAGGAGGAGGAAAAGAAGGAAGATTATAGTAGATACGTTTTTATGTAATTAATTTATTTGTTACATGCTGTTATAACCGACCCCTTGAACTAGTAGGGTATCGTTATTTCTCTCTACGTGGATTCTTGACTCCTGAACAGACTTATTTCAGATGAACTTTATTAGAAAGAAAACAGTGTTGGCAATCACTTGTGTGTATTGCTGTGATCAATCACTCGTTTATTCAATCGTTAAAATCGTTAGAACACAGCACAATAACTAATCGTCAGGTAAATTACGAAATACAACCAATCGTCAATAATTAAGCTTCTTTCATCAGACTAGTTATATTGAGTTCTCCTAGCCCTGGCGTTCTTCACTGCAGTGAGTTTCCAGTTTTCAAAATCTTACTTCTGTCACCAGTGTGTTATCTCCTAAGATCCGATTTCTAACACCAGTGTTGTAACTTTTTCGACCTCTTAACTACCAACACCGATGTTATAGGAGCTTCAACACTCACTATATCTCCAACACCGTGTTATAGCTTCTAACGATAGTCAAGAGTTTGTTTATCCGTAGGTTCAAGATTTCCGATAGATGAACACAACTACTTTAAACGCAAACTAAGTTGAACGTTTATTTAATACCAGCAGTAATAGAAACAATAAATTAATCCCAATAACTACGTAAAATCACATTAATCACTTTTACGTCAACTGTGTTTCGTCTTCTTCTTACCTGCTCTTTTGTGTTGTGTCTCCGCCTCTCCCTTCTCTTATATGGCTGCCGATGTGCTAGTAAGTGTGTCACGTGACTTACAATCGTTTTGATTATTATTTACGCCTTCTGCTAGTAAGTGTGTCACATGACTTTTACAATCGTTATAATTTGCAAGCGCTTCACGCAATTTCTAACCACTAGTTCCTATCTCGGCTTCACGTCTGTAACAATATGTATATATGCATGATTGAAAGTTAATGGCTGGTTGAATGTGGATAGTTGGTTGAATGTGGATGGTTGGTTGAAAGTGGATAGTTGGTTGAAAGTGGAACAAAGTAATCAATAATAATAATGTGTCAGTAATAATAATAACAACAACAACAACAACAAAATAATAAATGTTGAATGACAATTTTGATACTAATTGTGATATGAATGAATGAATGAATGAATATGAATAAATGAAGGAATGAATGAAGGAATGAAGGAATGAATGAATGAATAAATGAACACAAAATGATGAAAAACATGAAAATAAAATGATAATGTTGATGATAATAATCACAACAGTAATTGTTTGTCAGAAATGTTGTGCTGACAATTTCCTCTATTCATCATACTTTTGCCAGAAAATCATCGCAATCGTATTTCCTCCAACCAACCAACTAGCCAGCCAGCCAATTAAACAACCTGCCAACCAACTAACTAACCAGCCAACTAGCCAACAATCCAATTAGCCTACCGACCGACTAACCTACCATACAACCAGACAATTAATTAACCTGCCAGCCAACCAACCAGTGGCGGATCTTGACAACTTTGACAGAATGCCAAAATTTTGAAGTTGTTTAAATTTTGAAATATGACGGAGGAAAATTAAGAAACTAACCAAGTTTGTGCTTGTGTGGCCAAAATTAGGCCGGCGACTTTTTTTGCTCATCACGTTAATTTTCGGCCGATTATCTACATAAAACGGGTTTTCTGTTTGAAAACTGAGTTTTATTGAATTTTATTAACAATACTGCTTACAACGGCCATTTCGGTTCCCCATTTATCCACCACTGCAGCTAACCAGCAAACCCACCATCCAACCAACCAATGAACTAACCAATCAACAACAATCCACATTTAGAGGACGGATTACGTCGAACAATTTCTGAATGTGTTTCATATGAGTTTAATTTACTCTTATAATTACATCGTAACCAAGCTATCATCATAGTCAGTTATTGAGTAATGACAATCTATTCATTGTTTTATATTCCCCTTAGTAACTGACGATGACTCAATGTAGTTTTCATAAATTATCAAACTGTCAACAGGTGAATAAATTATGTTAATAACAACTCATTAAAAATATGACAAAGATATTGGTAATGTTTTATTCTCTGATTTGCCTGCGTGTGCCTTTTGTTGTAAATATTAAGGTAGGTTTTAAGTTTTGGAGTTAACTACTACTTGTGTATATGCAATTGCGCATGTACGATTGTGTGTTATATGCATGTGTGTGTGTGTGTGTGTGTGTGTGTGTGTGTGTGTGTGTGTGTATGTGTGTGTGCGCGTGTGTGTAAATTTATATTTAGTATGTATCAGATATATAAAAAGTTTGCCAGAGTATTTTTTGTAGATGTTTCAAAATTGTCCAATTTGAACATTTACAAGAATGCGCCAGATTACACCCATGTGGTGTTTGGTTTTATTTATTGTATGTGGAATTTTCATTGATGTCATGCGTTATTTTCCTCAACATATTGAATTGTTATTTCTTAAGTAAATGATATTTCAGCAAACACCGATGTTGTTTTGCAACGTAAAACATCTTTCCACTTATAGTTAAAAATAACTTTATCATTCCACTTCCAATACCAATCTCCAATTAATTTTTCTCCGCAGCTTATAAATAATCAAGCTCCATAAGTCAGTATGCATCGTAGGGTTCCTCTGAAAAACTTTTCTATTAATAGCTCGGTAAACAAGCAAGCAGCAAATGACAATTCATTTAACCACCTTTCATGGGCATTCAAAAAAATTACTGAATCTTTCTATTTGTGCTTTTTTTGTTTGCTGTTGGTTGGTTGTTTTTTTTACATGTGTGAGCATATGGATATCTGTACAAAAACATATTGAAGATGTTTATTGAACGAATGGCGACTGTTGGTTAACTTCCTCGCCCACGTTTGTTGTTGTTAAATCATTTTGACATCACGTCAATTGAACTCGGTAGGCTCAGAGTAGTTTGTAAGCATGTATTAATAATTACTAACAATTAATTAATTAATTGTAATTGTCAGTAGATTGAAATGTTGAAAACATATAATTTTACAATTGATTTGAAAGGAATAATTTATAACACAAAACTGATTGGCATTGAAATATAAATTTCTCAACTGAAAATATAATTTAGTTAATCAAAATTCATCTACAAGAATTTTCTCTCTTTCTCTTGTCCAGGTTCACTGTCAAGTGTTTTAATACAACCTCTCGTTCCCATCGTTATTGGGCCTACTATGAATATTGAACGATTTAACAACCGCAATACTTGTAATTTTTAATGATTTGTATTAATTAGAAAGCTAATTATCTCAACCGATATTTATTAGTAGCAAGCTGGTTATTGCCGTTTTGACTTATTCATCCTGGACAACTATGATAAACGTATGCATGATTTTTCTCATAATGCAGAGTCGTGTAGATGCTTCATCTTTCTCAATAATTAATTTTGTCATTACAGAATATGTTGACAAATTTTATATACATCATTTCAAAATTTA